GAGTTGTGATGGTTTGAAGTTGAAGTCAAAAAGTCGGTGTATATAGAAATCCGTGCGGCAGGTGGGGACGTGCGTCAGGTGATCAAGTACGGTAGAAGATACAGGACAAAAACAAAAAAAGAATTAAATTCCGATGCGGGGAATCGAACCCCGAGCTGCTGTGTGAGAGACAGCGATGTTAGCCATTACACCACATCGGATACTTGTTGAAAGGTTTTATTTTAATTTATTTTATTAACCAAAATATATTTAAACAAGTCTTCCCCCATCTCTTCAAATATAACAAAGGATGCATAGTATTTAAGCATGGCTGCGAACTCAGCAATGGCAGGATCTGCTAAAGGAGCTGTTTTGTGCTAACCGTAATGGTATATCATTAACATAATAACCCAAGAGAGCGATACTTATGATCTTTCGAATAGCTCGGAAACGGAAGCTTCAGCCGCCAGGACATAGGTAGTTAGTTATATATATTTTTGAGTAATGGGTCTGGTAGTAGATCGATCCCCATAGGTCATGCAATATTATGCAACATGGAAACACATGCTTATCACTCGGAAAACCCTTCTCACTACTATTTATCTTTATGTTTGATCGTATTGGTTCAGGACAGAAACCACCTATTTTGAACCTGGAGTGACACCGATGATCGGCGTGTAGCACGTGGTCTTCAAACATGACAATGAGGAGTGAAAGGGTGAAACAAACTTCCTCTAGATAGTATACAGAGAAGCTATATTGATAAAATAATGGGGAATGTTCGTGCAATTTTTAAGGGAGGTTAGTATCGAAAACATGCTTATTTGGGAGGCAACGTTGAAGACAAAGCGAGTTTCGTAGATTGAGGTTGTATTACCGTCAGTGCTAAATGAGATAAGAGAGCCCCTATGCGCCCATACGCCACGCTTCGGGGTTCCAAGCCTAACCTCCATGATCTTTGTGTCTAGGATATACCAAGTGGAATTTGTTACGCTTTTTGGATACTCGCAAGGATGTCGTCCATATAGGAGGTCCAACCATAGGTGCGCTTTTTGGTCAACCGGTACTAAATTATTGATTGATGTCATCGATGTTAGCTGAAGACGACAACAGGGCACAATGAGTCCCACTATGAGTAATCTCCGGCCTAAACCAAGGGCAGAGGAGCTCAACCTTGAGCTTAAGCCCAGTCATCTGCATGTCTAGTAACCCCTACAGAATTAGCTAGTGGGGAGTTGTATTTGTTGGCAAGCTATGGTCATCGCCTTTGCTATAGCAGCAACTGGCCGTAGCTCGGGTCGTTCCTCCGCTGCCTTGTCCACAAAGTCGTTAAGCCAGGACACCAGAATGAAGTCGTCCTCGAGCTCGTATCTGTGAGATCCGATAATATCCGCGCAAAGAATAAAGAACGGGATAAATTGGTGCAGTAGTATGAGACTACGAGGAGAAGGCTGTGGTCAGCAAGGGAAGACTCGACTCTTAAATAGTACATACCTGATACCCCAGTACGCGTGCAGTTCCGCACTCATTAGAGACTGAAACATTTTCAAAGACTTCCTCGCGACATCTACAGTGTGCCTTGGCAGGAATTGACTGCTCTGGTTGCACCTCTTGGACTGCGTGAAGACGATGAGCATCTTGTAGCTACTGAATAGGATATCCGCACTGAACCAAGTGTCAACATGATTAGTGGCGCTGTTGAAAAGTTCCTCCTTCGTTACGTTAGATCATAAGCCCTCATTAACCATGGATCGGGGTCAATTAACAACATACCGCGTTCCAGTCTGACATGATCGCTTGCACTTCTGCAATGAGGGCATCGAGCGCCTGATCAGACACATCCGTATCTTGATGCATTTCAACATCCAAGTCCAAGTATTTCAATAGAGTTAGTGTGAGACGCATCGATGCTAGGAAATGAATCTGGATAAAGCGCGTCGACGCATCATCAACACCGGTAATGGTGGGATCAGGGAAGTTTACTGTCCATGACCCACCGGGTATGAGGGCCGGTTTGCCAAAGGATAGACGGAACAGACAATCCATCCTCAGAAGATGCCAAAATTCGAATCGCTTTCGATTTTTATCCACCTCACTTTCACTGCTACTATGCGACACAGACTGAGGATCTTGTCCGTCCGATTGTTCATCGACGGAGAAGAATCCCAGAGCCCGAGCAATATTACAGGCATAGCCGAAAATCTTCCAGGACATTTCGCTATTACAGCCCTCGAGCGTCATCGATATCTAAAGGGAAATTGTCAGCCTGGGACTTAATCTAATTGATATTCTATACATATACTCACCATAACAAAAGCTGCAAACATGTTCGGGAGAGTGTTTTCGATATGACATAGCCAGTCATCTACCAACATCATACTACTCTGGTAAAGATATTGTATGATTTTACCTCTCCCAGGAAGGTATTCCGAATCTAATATGATGCCTTGAAGGAGTATGTTGTAGTAAATGATCTTCAATGTACTGTCCATGTGGACGTGGGGTATTTCCAACAGGTCAGGGATAGACATGACGAAGCTCTTCTCAAGAGGAACTCGAAAACCCTCGAACTGGTAGGCTTCGTAGTATGCTAGCCAACCCGATCAGCAAAATGTCTGTGTCCAAGTGATCGAATAGCACACACATTTTACCCACCTCTTTGCCATTTCTTTAGTGATGACAGGAGGATCTAGTACGTTGATTTCTCGTGTACTTTCCAGGCGTTCAACTTCTTCCATGGCAGTTTCTACCGCTTTCACACATGTTTCGTTCTCAAAAAGGCGAGACTCCACGTTCCGCAAATGACAAAACACATTGGAAGAAAGCAGTGACCTGGCCTGATCATCTTTTATCCCGTTCAACATGCTGTGGATCACGGGTTGTGTGTTTGGCGTTTGAGGCTGGCTACCGTGTAGCAAATCGATGCTTGCCGGTCTCGTTCCAGTGATGTCCGACGAAGTTGACATTGAGCGGGATGCACCGCCATGACCTTTACTATGTGAACTGATCCTACAGTGATCCTCTAGACGTTCGAGACGTCTGAGTATGTCCAGTAAAAGGTCTTTTTCAGAGGGATTACTAGTACATTATATTATGAGTGATGTAAATTCGCCTTTTTTTTTTTTGGTTTGGGCTGTCATAGGACGATATGCCATACCTTTGCTTCTTTGCCCGAGCTTTTCGAGGTACATAAATACATTCTGCATTGATGGCTTCACATTTATCACATTGAGGTTGGACTCTGTTGCATCGAATCTAGCCCTGACGTCATTCTTGGGGTGTCTTCTTCTGCAGGCGAATTTTTCCGACTAATACCTTTTTGGATTGGCAGCGAGTACACTGAAATCAATTCTAATTAGAATTTCATTCGAACTGAATAAAGTGAGGCTCTTATTAACTTACCGATATGTACTTCGGCGGTTTCCGGGAGCTCATTTTCTTTTCTATTCGGGGAGAGTGGAATGAACTGATGACAGTAAGGGGAATTGGAACGGGGTGTCGCAAAGTCCGAAATCCCGGATGGAAAAAAAACGCCCAAGCGTCAGTCACGTTGCCTGCTCGATCGCCCGGACTTAAAAAATCCCCGAATTCCCGGAAGTATATACCTAGGGCTCCACGTATCATCTGCACGCCACTTGGTACTAAGAACCTCCCCTTGGAAAATCATGTTAATTGTGGATACGTATTCATTCTAAATGTGGAAAAGATGTAGGCGCTAGGTCAGGGACCAAATTACCATCAATCCTCTGAATTGGAGATTATTGTAGATTAATACCTGAAGAATGATCTAATCTCTCTTGCCCAGACCGTGTTCGTATTTGAACGTAGTCATAAGTCGCTTGGACCGCTTCTTCTGGAAATACTTCTTGACCTATAAATTACCTACTCCCTGAATAACCATCATGATATTCCTTCCTTTGTCAAAGCCTGTGACACAGATTCATCACAATGGGCCGTTTGTCGGACCGCTCTCCGCCACGGAATTTAAACGAGAAACCACATCATGAGACCGGAGAGCTCTGTGCCACTCCTCAGCCCGCGAAGGATGCGTCGGAGAGCATCGCCGTCAAGTCAGATCGAACCGGAGTTGAAGTTGAAGGCAAAGATGGACGCAAAGATGCTGCAGAGGCTGAACAAACCGCCTCTTTAGCCAACTACTTTGTATGCGGATAGACTTTTCATGGGAGGCCTTATTTTCCGCTGACGTGTCTGCAGAGAGTCCTCTCCTATACCAGCGCCAAGGATCGCGTCGTACTCGGAATGGCGTTGATATGTTCTATTGGATCTGGAGTGGTATGCCGTTTTTTCCTGGGAGAAATTGGAGTTATAAACCTGACGATTGTATAATAGCCACTGCCCCTTATGAATATCGTGTTCGGTAAGATGGTTGGTGAGTTCAACGGATATTTTATCCCCGGCACATCGGTCACAGAAGCACAATTCAAATCATCCGTGAGCAAACTGAGGCAAGACATCCAGAATATTGAAAACAAGTCTTGTTTACTCATCAGCTGACGCCAATATTAGCTTGTATATCGTTTACCTCTTCATCGCCAAGTTCGCTTTAACATATGTCTCAATGGTATGCCAAGCTGCTTCTAAGTTAACCAGTTGAGAAAATTATACTCAACAATCACAGTTCTGTTTCCGTGTCATCGGTCTTCGAGTCTCAGCTGCCTTGCGACTGGAATACATGCAGTCACTTTTTACCCAACCAATTACTACGCTGGATCAAGTGTCGGTGGGCACGGTCACAAATACCATCTCGACGCTCTCCAATTCGATTCAACAAAGTATTACCGACAAGCTTGCAATTCTGTTCCAATCTCTGGCACTTCTACTGGCAGCATACATTATCGCCTTCAAGTACTCGTGGGCCTTGACTCTCGTTACCAGCGCTTGCCTCTTATTCATCCTCATTGCCTGTAGTGTGACGGTTCCTATTATTACTAAGGTTCAACAGAAAGTCGACAAAGCCGATGAGAAGCATTCGTCAGTAGCAGCAGAAGTATTCGGCTCTATTCGAACTGTTGTTTCCCTTGGAGCTGAGGAGTCTCTCAGGAAGAAATATGCTGCCTGGATTGAAGAAGCACAAAGGCGTGGACAACGTATGTCCACTGTTATGGGAGTCCAATTTGCTCTCATGTTCTTCGCAATGTACTCGAGCTTTTCTTTGGCATTCTGGTTTGGGCTGAAGTTGTACCGGGAAGGCCATATCGATAATATCAACACAGTCATCACGTAGGGACATGATTATATCCGAAGGGTTGTTTGTGTCTGCTAATTTGTCTCGATAGTGTGTTTTTTTCTATCATGATTGCAGTCACTATTCTGGGAAATATCGCAACGCCATTGATCATCATCTCTAAGGCCGCCAGCGCTGCGACTTCATTTTTCGAAATGATCGACTCCGAGAGGATTGAGCTTGGCGGCCTCCGTGATCCTGATGTTTCAGCTCACGTAGACATTGTTTTCCAAGATGTTCATTTTACATATCCTACGCGACCAGATACCGCAGTCCTCAAGGGCCTGAATGCTCGATTCGAAAAAGGCAAGACCACGGCATTGGTTGGCCCATCAGGCTCGGGTAAGAGTACAATTGTGGCTCTTGTTGAGCGATGGTATCAACTGGGGTCGAGCGAAGAGGATCATAGCCGAGGAACCATCTCCGTGGGTGAACACAATATCAATAGCCTGGATATAAAATGGTGGAGATCGCAGATCGGATTGGTTCAGCAGGAGCCCTTCCTTTTTAACGATACTATATTCAATAATGTCTCATTCGGCCTGATCGGAACGAAATGGGAAAATGAAACCGACGCAGTGAAACGAGAGATGGTGGAGAAGGCCTGTAGAGAGGCCTTTGCGGAGGAATTTATTAATCGTCTGCCAAAGGTATGTCGACTTCTTTTGATTTTGCTCCACTTCATCTAATCTTCACAGGGCTATTTAACTATGGTTGGCGAGAATGGTACCAAATTGAGTGGCGGCCAAAGGCAACGTCTTGCAATTGCTCGAAGCATCGTGAAAGAGCCCACCATTTTGATCTTAGACGAAGCAACAAGTGCAATCGATGTCCGTGGCGAGAAGATTGTGCAAGCCGCCCTTGATCAAGTTTCAAAAAATCGCACCACCATCGTAATTGCTCACCGGCTATCGACCATTCGACGAGCAGATCACATCGTTGTAATGAAGGGCGGTGCTAATGTCGAGCAAGGAACACACGAAGAGCTTTTAGCGAATGAAAATGGGGTTTACCATGGCCTCGTCCATGCTCAAAAACTTGAGCTCTTGGCAGAAGATGAGACCAACGAGAGTGAAATTACTCATGAGTTGAAAGAAGAGATCCAGTTGGCTCATTCTGCTCTCGACGACAAACCACAGACGGAGGAGGAAAATATGAAAGACAGAAATCGGGGCTTTTTTAGTAGCATCGGCCGGATTCTATATGAGCAACGTGCAAATTGGCCTTTTTATCTTACGACTATATTTGGCGCAGTTGGTGCAGGAGGTAAGGTTCGGAGATTCCACACACTACAACTCAATAACTGACAAGATGTTATTGAAAGCCGCTTTCCCGCTTCAGAGCTGGCTCTTTGCAAAACTTATCCACGTATTCCAACTTACTGGTCAACAGCTTGCTGATGCCGCTAACTTCTGGGCTTTGATGTTCTTCATCCTTGCCCTAGGGGTCGCTCTCAGCTATAGTATCGTAGGATACTCCACTAACTCGCTTTCAGTGGTATGACCATGAAATACATCTTTACGCGTCTTATGAGAGCTAATATGGGCACAGAGGATTGGTTCGTCCTGCAGGAAGGAATATTTTCAGAGCATACTAGAAAAGCCTATACCATTCTACGATATGAATGAGAATGCTTCAGGGTCTTTGATTTCTCGCCTCGCAACTGACCCAAAGCAAGTTCAAGATTTACTTGGAATGAATGGAATATTCCCGGTTATCTCCATATTCAGCATGATTGGTTGTATTGCAATTGCGTTCTCGTTCGGTTGGAAACTCAGCCTCGTGGCAGTATTTGCAGCCCTGCCATGCACCTTTCTAGCTGCCTTTATGCGCATCAGATATGAAATGCAGTTCGAGGCCATGAACGCAAAAGTGTATTCTGGAAGCTCACAGTTTGCAGCAGAATCCATTGAGGCTTTTCGAACTGTATCGGCATTAACGATGGAAGACGCAATCCTTGACCGCTACACCAATCTATTGCGACAGCAACAAAACAAAGCTTTCAGGAAAGCATGGTACGCGACGCTAATATTTGCTTTCTCCGATAGTGTCGAGCTATGTGCGATGGCACTAACGTTCTGGTAAGGATTCCTTGCGTAAATGTCCCTATGTAATACTCAAATTCTCTACTAGGTACGGTGGTCAACTACTCGCGTCCCGAGAGTACCAGCCAACCTCTTTCTTTGTCATTTACATGGCCATCATACAGGGAGGACAATCAGCTGGTCAATTTCTTAGCTTTGGACCGAATATGGCGCAAGCCACTGCATCGGCTAACCGGGTGATGAACCTACGATCAAGTTCAGTTACGAAGGATACGGACAATATCGGACAGAAACAACTTACCCATTTTGCTTCACAATCTGGAGCTAGCATCGAATTCTGTGACGTTGCATTCAAATATGCATCTCAAGACGCCCCTCTATTCACTGGGCTTAATGTTAGTATCGAAAGCGGGCAGTTCGTTGCCTTCGTTGGACCTTCTGGCTGCGGCAAAACAACCGTAATATCCCTGCTAGAACGGTTCTATGATCCCTTTAGAGGCACGATATCCCTGAATGGTCAAGATATTCGCTCCACTGAACCATCATCTTATCGCAGAGCTCTATCGCTAGTGGCCCAAGAACCAAGACTCTTTGAGGGAACAATTCGTGAGAATATCACTCTTGGACTGAATGAATCTGACTTCAGCGAGGATGAGATAATCCAAGCCTGCAAAGACGCTGAGATACATGACTTTATTACGTCACTGCCTGAAGGCTATTCCACCGAGTTGGGCATTAAAGCACAGACGGCTCTCAGTGGAGGCCAGAGGCAGCGGCTATGCATTGCGCGTGCACTACTGCGAAAGCCGTCATTACTTCTACTGGATGAGGCAACTTCGAGTCTAGATTCGCAATCAGAAAAGGTAGTACAAGCGGCTCTGGAGCGCCTGGCGGGGAGGAGAAACATGACAATTGTCGCGGTCGCGCACAGACTTGCCACTATCCAGAAAGCTGATATGATCTTTGTCTTCGGCGAAAGCGAGGTGGGCCATGGATCCCGGATAGTGGAGCAGGGAACACATCAAGAATTGCTTCGGACTAAAGGGACCTATTGGCAGATGGTAAGTATCAGAACTCTCTTTCACGACTATTCGCTTCAACCTTCTTCTTACTAACATTGTTATAGTGTCAGGAAAACGCCTTAGATAGATGAAGTCTTGCATTGGACTTCATCTTTTGCTCCTTATCTGTTGCTTTCATTGATTGGGGGTGTTTAGCCTTCTCTGACTCTCTTTATAGATACCAAACTATAATGCTACTATATTTTCTTTACATATTTGGTTTAGATGGGTCGGTCCACTACGGTAGTGATTTAATATGCAACACATACTGGACACCTTAGATTTGATACATTATAAGTCAGTATACAATATGCTGGACGCAATTAGGAAGCCTATCAATGGAGAATTATGCCTCCTGAAAGTCTCGAAATCATATCCTGCGGCGTTTAATTATCCTATATCGTAGATTTTGGCGGTTTTTAACGCCACGCTAGGAGCTGGTGACCTGTATCATAAAAAATGAATACATAGTGGAAGTATCCTGGGATCTGGAGAGCCTAACAATACTACGGTATATATTTAAGTTTAAGCATCTTTCTCCTTGCATGTTAGTAAATACCGGGGATCATCCTCCATCGCACCTGACGGCAGTACTCGTCCCAGTGTTTCCCATATTTCGCTGCACATTTTACTTCATCACGATAGCAACGATGAATCACCATCCCCCCAGCCATAACCACCTCAGTATAAGGGAAGATTCCACCACAGCCGCAAGCAGCGCAAAGAGCCAGAGTGTACATCACGCTCCCTGTATAATTTGCATGGCGAGCCAGCCCCCACCATCCTGTGAAAGTCAGGTTGTTAGTCTTCCTCATTGCGGACCCGTAGTAATATCCCATTTGATCAAATGAATAGACCTACCAGAGCATAGCAGCAAGGAGTGACGTGTCTTTCCATCTGCAGTTTGGTGTGATGCTCTAATCCTTTCGGCGGGCTTGCCCCAGATTCGACATTCTCCACCCGTTTGACGGAACTTCACTTTCTGATAGTCCACGGAGAACCGGATCAACCAGCCGACAGTAAAGAGCAGTATGACACCAATGAGCGCTATATTAGAGAGTTCCTCGGGATGCTTGACCAGGTACTGTGTTTGTAACGACCAAAGCACGGGCATCATGGCTGAGAACCCATAAATGTTGTAGAAGCCGAATGACTCGTACATGCCGTCCAAAGTGTGGAAAAACCTGGTTAAGTTAGGTTATTTCGATTCGTTAAGCCTGGCTGTACGTGATGACAGTCATACCATAACTCATTGACGAAGAAATCCACTACAACAAACGCGCGCATAATGACTACCGCCGCCATGGTATTCGTCATGTACCCGTGAGATTGATACTGATAAGCGGCGAAAGATAGATCACTACAGTATTTGTTTTAGAAACAGGGATGTGTATAACTTCCGTGTAATATTTGGGGAGAATGGGGCTTACATCAAAGTCCAGGCGAGAATTCCTCCTGTACGCGTAGAGAAGAACTGTCTCCAATCCCACGTTTTCCCGATGCGAGGATGAAGCTCACCACCCTCAAAGATGTCGTACCAAAACGATCCTAGGGTGTTGAATTAGCGAAAAACAAAAGCAATTGGCAAATCAGTAAATCCTTGCCTGTTATAAACGTCTCAGCCTCGTTATCTGGCATTATCCGAGCCTTGATGTGGAACAGGACGACAGTAACCACGGAAAAGGCGTTGGTGATCCAGACTAGGCCTTCCCAGTTCTTAGCAATACATGCAGGATCAATAATTCCCGAGACAGCCCCAACAGCCCATAAAGCGACGGTTGCGCCCCACGCTACTAGGCCGTTCAGTTTATACTTCAACCTCCTGCCTGCCGGTGTTACGGGACCAAGGGCTTCGCTCCCAGGCAAGTAGATATACAGGATTGCTTGGAGAGCAAGCCAGGCGGCATAACCCAAGATGGCATTTGTGCTTGAGTGAGGAAGGCGAGTGGCAAAGAATTGAAAAGGACCTTCTGAATAAGCAACTCTGGCTGCGGTAACTATCGAGGTGTCAAAGTAATGATAGGCTATCCAGTAGTAGATCACAACAAGAGGGCTAGTTGTACACAAGACGAAACTGATTATCTCAGTGAGCCAAGACGGTCTCAAATGTCGACTCTTAGCATTTCCACCCTCGGGAGAGGGTTTTAGTACGCCAGTAGAGTTGCTTGCTTTTTCAGTGTCCATTTTCAGGTGTTTTTCAAGATAATATTGAAACGACCTCCGGGGACCGAGCAGGTAAGAGAAAGAGCTGCAAAGGCGGGACAGATGACGAGCGTAAATACCTTGGACATTGCCAAAGTGGACTCTGCAGCTATTCAACACCACTCGCATGCAAGGGCCAATATTGCACCAGGTTCACCCTTTCTTGCCAACAGAATGTGCTCGTCCGACGTGTCATTTACGTAATGATCAAAACCCCTTGCTTTGTATCGAACGAGTCATTTCTACTGATGCTCTACTCCACTTTCCCAAGAAAACTATCCGGGTCGATCTTCTCTCTGTACTGTACAGACATACCTTCAATATTTAGGCCTTTTCCTTAAAAGACAAAAATTCAAGATCAACGCCGCGTATTCTGAGGCAATATCTAAGTTTTACTCATTTACTACTGGAATTACCGTGACCTATAGATATCTGAATACTATACCTGAAAGAATATACGAAACTATATATTTTGAAGAGAAATTAAATTTTTGTAAAGAATTGATATTTTTTTTATTGTTACTATGTCTATACTCTTACCTCAGGGATAATATAGACTAGATTCAAATTACAGTTCCCATAGTAAGCTATAAATCGTTGACCCAAGAACTGGAGGCAGTCTTCCATGTTAAATTCATAGTGTCAGTGATAGTAAAGAACACTGGCGTAACATAAAAAGCAATGAAAAATATCCTGAAAGGCATGTCACAGTATTAGAATATACAGAGAAACAATGAGACTATATAGAGTAGATCATGCGTTCAGGTCAGAAAGCACCAAGCCTTGTTCTTCCTCGCGCGTCGTCTCGCTCCCTCGTCGTCGTAGTTGTCGTTTAAGCCAATCTTGTGTGTCTCTAGAGTTCAACCGCTTGACCTTGATCTTGAGAATCGCGTATACCAACAAACGATAGCACAACATGGCCACAACACCCCCCACGACTTGCAACCACGGATTCTTCTGATCGAATTTGTACAGTTGCAAGACTTGTTCTCCGGTTTCTATTAGGCATTTTCCATTCACATCTCGCTGCTCCTCCGTGCAAGTAAATATCAAATCTCTCATGGTGAAGACAGAGATACTGGTTACCGCATACTTGACTGGCGATATGTAGTTGAACCACTGAAGTACCTTTGGCGGGTCCAGACTCATGACGCCGCCTAGCACGGTGAAGATAGCAAGTAACGATGCCGTGAAGCTGACTGCTAGACTTATATGATCAAAGAGAAGATAAAACAGCATACTTATTGATTCCCCACTGTTCAGCGTGCAAAGAGCACTTAGGAACAAGGAACCAAACAGATCCGCCTCAGGTGCTAATTTTGCTGCGTATGCTAGTAAAAGAGCAAATACCAGGGCAGAAAAAGCTTCAAAAGGAAGCTCGAGGATGGTATACTGCGCTAGAAATGCTTCAATTTTGTATAGACCCTCTGATGTCTCGCGGTACATAACATCCACTTCAGGAGGGAAGGTCGCGACGTTCTGGAGCATACCTAGATATCAGGAATGAGTTTGTGAGCCGGTTGCCTGGATTGAAGACCAATTATGGAGCTTACCAATGAAGGTTAGACATGAATACTGTTGGATAACACCCATGCGGGTTTGGATGGAAATGTAGTCTGTTTTCATCGGTGCAGTAAAAAGTGCCAACAAAAGACCCACGCCAGGAGCCTGGATTGATCGGGCCAAGATTGAGATTGGCTGGCGAAAAGTGTTCAGCACGGCACGATGTACAAGTATCGGGAAAGCTGTTACAGAAGAAAGATGGTTGCATGTTGTAGAATCCGAAACCGATTCCGTACAACCACGATCAGTTCCGGGCCGAGAACCAAGGGATTGTTTTCTTGTGTAGGGCCCATGGGCTTTCCACGCATCGACAAGGCTGCCTAGTCGCTTCTTACTATTCTCGTAGCTCCCTTGAATTTCGCCGGATGTTGCAAGATCCATAAAGAAGTCTGCAGGATTCATCGCCTTAGGGCACTCAAATCCCACTGAATGAAAATAGGAACGCATCTCAGACGTTTCACCAGAGTACAGGGGTAAGCCGTCTGGTGAGAGAAGCAGGCAGTTGGAGAAAAGTGGCCACATCGACGACGTGGGCTGATGGACTGTGAGAATGATAGTGCAGCCTTCAGCAGCTAGGCTCTGCAGGACTTCTAGTACAGTGAGTGCCATGAAGCTGTCGAGCCCGGACGTAGGCTCATCTAAAATAAGAACTCGTGGCATCGTTAGGACCTCACAAGCGATCGACAGACGACGTTTTTCTCCGCCACTGATTCCCCTTTTGATTGTGGACCCAACTAGACGTCTTGCACATGATTCCAGACCAAACTTTGTAATAACTTCTGAAACACGCTCACGCTTCTCACCGTCAGGCATTGAGGATGGCAACTTTAGCCGAGCGGCAAAGAGCAATGTTTCGTCCACCGTAAGTGCCGGCATTAGATTGTCGTCATCCTGAGCCACAAATGAAACCATTGATCTGATTTGGACCTTCGGTAACTGTTTTCCATTATACAAAGCTGAGCCTGTACGGCACCACTTGGAACCTGAACTCGGAGGAAGCCTTTCAGCTAATGAAGACAACAAAGATGTTTTGCCACTACCTGATGCTCCCATAATCACATTCAGTTTTCCTGGTTGAAATATGGTGGACACTGGACCACAGATCCTGGATGTGATACTGGTTACATTTCCCCGCGTTGACTTACGCCGTTTTGCCTTTAGGACGTAGTCTTCCAGGCAGAGGGAAACTGGAGGAATTGAACGGTTGTACCTTGGCTGAATTCCCACATCCGTTGAACTAGGGTTGCCTACCCTCTCAGGTGGAGTAAGAGGTGGTTTTGGATGATTGATATGAAGAACAAATGCTCCCGATAAATGAAAAATACAAGTCATGGACCACAAGATAACAATAGGACGCCATATCCACTCTTTCGGCATTCCCAAGCTATCCATGACAAACCGTCCAGTATACTGCTTACAGCGAGGATCTGTAAGATCGGCCGAGAAAGGGCAGTCATACAGGTGCCCTTGGTATGGGCCATGCACACCGATAAACTCGTTCGCACATAGAGCACCAAATGTATAGAAAGTATGAGTGACCCATTTGAGCCATCGAGCGTACAGTGGAGTTTGATTAGTCTGGATAAAGTATGCGGATGCCACCATCTGCAAAGTGAAAAAGAGGTTTCCCATCAGGCCTGCTCCGTGAAAGCTCCTGGTAGTGGCCACACAAAGACCGGCGAACCCAATGGCAAGATAATGCGTTAGTAGCATGACAAGTAGAAAGATGCAAACCTGGGAGCCCGAGCCACGGTATCCGACCATGGGATAGTAGATGGCCGTGAAGAGAAGGGGAAGGCTTAGATCCTCTAGGAAAAATCTTGACGCTCTCCGGCTAAGTAAAAATGCGGATGCGCTCAGGACTCCGTCTCTCCGCTCGTGGTCAAATAGACCAATCTCATCAATTAGACGGCATATCTCATGGACTAGGATCAAGTATCCGTATAGCCCAGTGGCGTCCCAGAGGCTACCTTCGCGTGACCTAATCCCACTCAAGCTGCCATCTAGTTGCCAGAAAGCCCAACCGTTGATAGCAGCCAACGCAGCAACAGCGCACCAAATTCCAAGTAGCGACTTCCAGTCCCTCCAGCATATTTTCAGGTCTCGCTGTAACATTACTTTGCATACTCTTGAATAACTTGGAGCTTTGCTACCGGAGTCTAAATAGCCACATACATCACGGTAGTTGGACAGACAGTTTGCTGTAATGGTTGCCGAACGATTCCTCCAGCATTGGTTTAGCTGCTCCACTCGAACATGGGATTTAGACTTTGATGCCTCTGAGCGTACATCAATTGATGTGATATCCAAGAGAAAGTCCGCCGGATTCACGAATGGAGGCATTTCATATCCACAATCCTTGAAATAGTCGCCCACCATATTTGATGATCCGCTGTACATCAAGTGACCACCGGACAGTAAAATCACATTGTCAAAAAGGCTCCATGCGTCAGACCTTGGTGCATGGAGTGACATGACCACTGTCATACCACCATCGGCTAGTTGCTTTAAAGTCTGAATAACCTGGAAAGCCGTTGCTGCATCAAGACCTGGGTACAAATCAGCGGATAGACTCCAACTACTTCGTGGCATACATTCGTGATCGTACCAGTTGTTGGTTCATCGCAAAAGAGTACCGAGGTCACTTTTAGCAGTTGAATCCCAATACTGACTCTTCGCCTTTCACCCCCACTACATCCCTTATTCTTGTTGTCTCCGATTCTGGTTTCCGCACAGTTTTCGAGGCCTAGCTTTGAAATGATGTTATTGACAGCACGGTTAATCTCTGAGATTCCTGCAGAACCCAGGCTTAACTCTGCGGCATAGCTCAATATCTCGCGGACGGTCAACATCGCAGGAAGGATATCTTGCTGTACCAGATACGCACTCCGAAATGCTCCAATGTCTGCGCTACCGTTGTATGTGACGTTACCCGTAACATTTAGACGACCATTCTGTGTTCGGCCAGAGAGCACATTCAGGAAAGACGTTTTCCCCGAGCCACTACCTCCAAGAATAACGGTCAACTGTGCAGGTGGTATACATGCCTGTACGTTGTGGAGAATCCTTGGTGATTGTGGTGGTATAGCTGTACTTTTTGTCGTCTTCCAAGCGCGTCGTATCCCTTCGAAAGACGAAGTAGTGAGGGAGACCGAAACATCATGAGCTTCTATATGTACAGGATTGTGTCTGGAGTCGACTGAACCCGATGTGTCTAAACGATCGTGATCGCGTTGACTAGGATCACTGTGTGACAGCAACTGTTGATGGATCCTTGGGTACATTGCTGTTAGGTTGCCTGCACGTGGCTAGCTGAGAGGGCATAGACCGATGCTGCAAGCTAACGAAGGTGTAGATAGAGCTAGCGCTCGAATCACATGCCGATGGAGAAGCAATGAGACATGAAAAAGAAAGAGACGTACCAACTCTCTTGTGCGATGACAAAAGGGGTTATATTGATATATGGAAGCGCATCCTTATCGAACAGTAAGGGGTAGACGTAGGAAGGGGTGTCAATATGGACGGACCTTGGTAAGGGTCCACTGGCACTTTAATCACATAATAATTTCTCGAAAAAGGACCATGTCTTTTGCACCAGTCATATTCACTATTCCAACATAATGAGTCTGAGTAGAATTACATTTTATACGGTTAATTCCGCATCTGTTTACTCTCTATGGCATGACAACCGGAAATTAAGCCCTTGACCCCATTCAACTCATTATTCTCCTGAAAGCCAATCCCTTGGACCACATTTGCCATTCCTCCGTCACAATAAGCCTATTATACGATGAATCCCTAACTCTTCACTGTTCCTTCCCGTTTCCCCGCGAAATATCTCTCCGGGTCTGCGTAGGTACCCCCTAAATGGTCCCAAAGTGTAAGAAACTGTCCGAAGTTTAGTTTAACATTCTTGTGATGCACCGTATGGAATTGGTCACGATTGTCGTCTGGAGCCATATTTGTTAGCGGCAAATGAATACGTCCTATAGGACTGGGGCCGACACATACGCAGTAAAACCGTCCATATATTTGTTGTCACGAATACAATGAGTTGTGCCTCCCGAGACATGGGCCATAAGAAGCTATAGGCATAAATGGGCAGGCTCATGATGTACGCCTCTAGAGGATCGAAGGCATAAGCCGAAAACGGGGTCGGGATAATGTACCTTGCAAGTGGCCCGTCAGTTTCAAAACGATCGCTAATTATAAACTGGGCCAAAGTGTCTTCTTACTGATGATGCTTCTTGTGCATGAGGTTGAACAAGTAGTTGATGTGGAAGGTTCGATGAAGCCAGTACATGCAAGTATCACTGAATAGGACAAAGAACAGAAATTGCCCAAATTCGTACCAGAAAGGTACTTCCCCAGACCCGAAATCATAAAGCTTTGCGTATCCGCGAACTTGAGCAACGAAGATTGGGACAGTAAGGACATTTAAGCCGAAAAGGGAGAGCAAGGAATCATAGATCTCGTGTCTGATTTGGTTCTTATGATATTTGGGGTGGCTTTTTAATGCTTCGTCAAAATATAGATAGTGACAGACGGTCCCAAGCAGGATAAAGAACACCGAGCTAGAAATCCTTTCCGTTGTTTTTGATTAGCTAGAATTCGACCAAGTCATACCAATGCACAAACCATGTTACAATGAATATGCTTAGGCTTTGCCTATAGATACTTTCCCTACACCATAGCTTAGAATCTGCGATGACAGAACAGACACTTGAACTAGGTGAGTTAGCACAGAGCCCCAGTTGCAATGAGCCACGAACTGAGTCATAGACACTGTCAATGATAAGCGGATCTAAGTAGTTGAATATTAGGTCCATGTTGGCTTCGTTTGCGTTCTTCCAATAAAGCCAGAGAAAATATCCATTCTCTAATATTTCAGAGGTGGCTTAAGGAAGTCCCCTAGTCTCACATAATATGCCTTCGTCTATGCGTCATAGCCAAACAGTTGGGCACCCCCAGAATGTATTGTGATCGACATTTGGCAGTGTACAGGCGTTTATGATACATCTAGGGAGAACCCAATATATCGGAACGGGCCCCACAGTTGCAACACTGTATTTGGGCACTAGTTGAATGGAGTTTCTAGGGGTATCACATAACTGGGTCTCGTCACGTAGCTCAATCAAATTTACGGTACAGCGTATATCATAGTCAAGCATGCGGCGTCATAAGTAATGAATGGTAGTTATTTTACTACTACAACGTGCGTCCTAAGGGGGACTCATGGAGAACAGAAATCTTCAGCGGAACAAAGGGGCAGAAGTCCCCTTGTGTATGATAGGCAGGATCTGATTAAATACCAAAATATACAATTGTCCTCTGCTGTTCCGGGAAAGAGGGTATAGTTTGTGCTTGAGGACGCGGTAGTTGCCCCTGCGTAGGTATTGTGGACCATACAAATTTCATTCCTAAAGCATGCTAACCCTGGAAGGACTACAGTACATACTACTAAAACACCAGATAGATCTGCATACACTCGGTAATTTTCGAGGCATGTAACTTCATTCCAGATATACCCCCAGTGGGTCAACCAACACACTCATGAATTAGCAACTCAGTGCATTGAATATGAGACATTCATACACAGAGCAATAATTGGCTAGGGCTTAAAGTCTCTGACCACCACTAAGTGCAACTTATGGTATGACTTGGTGTCAGTAATTAATAGTGTCTCCAAAGGTCTGCGTAAAAAAAAGGGCGTTGTTCACACGATCACTACTCCATGCAAGGGGGTTATAGCCGATGCCTGACGATTACCACATAGGGGAAGCGTTATAGGTACTATAGGATTTGTTCTTATGGAATGTACATACGGATTACTGTTGACCGAATGTGGACCTTTTTAGCCTCCCCGAAACCCCGAAGTGCTCAGTTGAAGCTATTATAGCGGTTTAAACTGTGAAATATAGTTTAGGCAGCATTTACATGATAGCAAAGCCAATACCAATGAGAGTGATTTATCCACTATACTGACACTATTGATTTGTAAAATCAGCTATCCTTTTTATGGGAAACAAAACTGCCAAAATCTAAGTGAACTGTCTAGTAGTGCAAATGCCATCTTTACAAATAGATAATTTAGAAGAAAGAGGCTCCCATGCTTCACCCTCAACACTGGTTTGGATACGCGCGGAGGCTCTGGCAAGAAATCCAAGTATTCTGTTTGGCCATCAATATCTGATATGTAGCTGATAACTTGCTCACCATGATATGAACCAATGTATAGTCCTAGCCCCTTGAAGAAAGTTCCACAAAAGCTCTCACATCGAGCCAGGATCCATGAACATGTGTAGAAGAACCTCATTCTATGTTTTCGTGAGGCTTCCCAGGATTGTAATATCGCCTCACGCCCACAATTGTCGGAGCAGACACGACCCTGGCGTTTGTCTATGATACAGACAAGACGATTAGCTAGCGATGCAGCACTCTCAATAGCACAGTTAGCTCCTTGTGCCAAATTAGGAGTCATCTTTTATTTAACAGTTAGTCTTTTGGTCATATCTTGATGAGGGATAAAGACCGCACTAACTTTGTGTACGGAATCACCAATACAGACAATATTCCCTGAAACCCAGTTCTCACAGAGGAGTTCCTCGAGCCCAACATGAACGCATGCTTTGGTGTTGTAATACAGATCTTTGAAGAGGATCGTGCTAGATATATGGGTATCCAAGAACGGTCGGACCTGTTCGTCGATTGATGCCTGGTCTTGCGCATAGCGTGAAACACGGGGGTACTGATGTGTTTCTTTAGATCGGATTGACAGAAGCCAGTAAATACGCCCGTATTTGCCAACGTTAACGATAAAGGAGAAGCCGTTCCCATAAGTTCGATGCGCTTGCCCTGGGTGTAGCTCAGGTATAGGGTCTGAGATGCCGTAAATGCCAGAATACTCGGAGCTCAACCCTAAGATGAAGATAAGCTAAGCACCTATCCAATACTAACCATTACAACTCACTTAGTGGCACCTTTTGGATACAACTAAGCCCCCTAGCAAGATCTTCCTGCCAAAGGGCTTCTCTTCGTGTGGCACTATGAATGCCATCCGCGCCGACAACTACGTCCCCAGCAAATGAGGATCCATCAGCGCATTTCACCTTGACTTCCGATGAGCTTTGATCGAATTGAACTGCGCGCTTATCAAACACAACGCGACGCCTGTCCCCGACTAAACTATTGTAAAGGATCTGTATTAAGTCCCAGCGGGCAATCACGACCGCGTCGTAACCATGTCTAGATAGTTCTCAGGAGTTGCATGACTGATATGGTAGACGCGAATTCCTACCTCGTGGACGGAAGCTGTATCATATCAACCGTTTTTAGCAGATGTCCGCTGGCAAGCCAGGTTGAATGGCTAGTGATTGACTGCGAAGCAGCTTTAAGATCTTCCAACAGTCCGAGTTGGCTGAGTATGCGCACCCCATTAGGGAGTAAGGTAAGTGCATTCCCGGTAAGAGGTGGTGGCAGGTTCTTTTGGGATTCGAGAACGACGTAGTTGATCTTACGCTTAGAGAGAGCATTGGCAAGTGTCAAACCAGCAATGGAGCAACCCACAATAATAACGTCAAATTTTTGAGTCTGTTTGTCTGAGAAAGTCTCCATGATTATCCGACGGTAAGACGGCGAGACGAGCCTCGTTTAACTTCATAGCAGAGTCCAAGCATGAAGAATGATAAACATGGCAGGATCGGGCGTTAAGCACTTGAGTAAAGGTGCTGGGTTCTCTCTGTGGTTTAATTATTGAAAATGATACCGCATAAATTTTTTCCTTTTCGCTTTTCTTGTTTTGAAATTATGCTCAAGCGTATTCAATGAATTAGAGCATTCTTGACTTGGATTAAAATTGACCATCAAGTACGTGCCAGAAGAGAATTACTGCAGCCAATATGAGGAGTCCACTTTCCTCAACTCTATTGAATCTTATTATTTTCTTTGTCTTGTAAGAATGTGTGAATACATAGCGGTCAGGAAGAATATGACGTGTCCTAGCGACAAGACTATAGAATACTAGTGCCAAGCATTGTTGACCAAACTGTTGGGGACGTTTATCTGGTCCCTCGCGTCAAATATTCAGAGAAAATCTGATTGAAACTATCCGTTGAAGAAGGGTGGATCAGGCGTAACCCCCTTGCAGTTGTAGATCTCAGTAATAGCAGGCGCCACTGGGTATACAGCTGAATCACTGTATCCAGTCGAACTGGTGATATGGAAACTGCTGGATCTAATGAACCTATCATGTAGATCATGTAGAATACAATGTATGCTTACATTACTGGTGCGTGCGGAAGAAAGGAAACTTCACTCTGTTACTGCAGTCGGTGAAGCTACCTTTTTATGTCAATCTATCTTCTCTAATTTCTTGAACACTCAACGATCCGAATTACTACTCTCATACAAAATCACACCAATCATTCCTTTCCAGCATCTTTGAATCCAGTTCACAATGGAAATACATAATGCTATCGTCCAGAGAATCTCTGCACGTGTGAAGCAATTCTATAATGACAAAACCCCATTCCACATATACCATGGCTCAACGAACTCGACACGCGCTTCAACGAAACTTCGCTCGAACACTGTTGACACAGGCGGCCTTAACCGAGTACTTATGATTGACCAAGAGAGGAAGGTTGCCTTAGTAGAGCCAAATGTCCCTATGGATATGCTTGTCAAGGCAACACTACCATATGGAGTTATCCCACCTGTCGTCATGGAATTTCCCGGAATAACGGCTGGTGGTGGATTTGCCGGAACGGGTGGAGAAAGCAGTTCCTACCGACACAGCTTTTTTGATAGAACTGTCAACTGGATTGAGATTGTGGTTGGGAACGGCGATATTATCACTGCCTCCGCAACAGAGAACTCTGATCTCTTTTTCGGGGCTGCGTGCTCATTTGGGACCCTGGGCATAACCACTCTTCTTGAAATACAGCTGCTGGAGCTCCCCGTAGAGCCAGCAGTAGAGTTGACGTATTTCCCGATTTCAATGGGCGTCGATGAAGCTGTGCAAAAAATTGAGCATCTGACGCCGGACCCCACATACCAGTACTTAGACGGCATTATGTTCACCAAAGAGAGAGGGGTTATTTGTGCCGGATCAATCACAAGCGCTGCAGACCACTGCTATCGACGAATGCAAACGTTTACTCGTCCTACTGACCCCTGGTTTTACATGCACGCTGAAGAGATGGCCTTCAATTCAGCTGCCGAAGAAGCTGGCCCCACAAAAGATGTTATTCCAATTGCTGACTATCTGTTTCGATATGACAGAGGCGGGTTCTGGGTTGGCAAATATGCGTTTGAGTATTTTCTATTTCCTCAAACAAAGTTCATGCGGTGGGCCTTGGATAACATCTCTCACACAAGGGTGATGTACCATGCAGTCCACAAGAGCGGTTTATTCGCCGAATACACTATTCAGGATGTGGCGGTCCCTTATGAAGGGGCCAAAGAGCTTATTGACTTTGTTGATGATTCGTTTGGGAAGTATCCGCTTTGGATTTGTCCGGTGCGTTCAGCGACAGCTCACGTCTCGGGGTTAGTAGCAGAACCACGAGGCCAACCAGACTCCGATCCGGATGATCCTGAGATGATGCTCAGTGTTGGAGTCTATGGACCAGGCCCCAAAGGCAGAGACTTTCTCCGCTTTAATCATGAGCTCGAGAAACTAGTAAACAAACTTGGGGGTCAGAAGTGGCTATATGCGCGGACCTATTACTCTGAGGAAGACTTTTGGTCAATTTATGACCGTTCCACAAGAGATGATCTACGGCAGAAATACCATGCAACATACTTACCAAATTTATACCAAAAAGTTCGGGCCGACCGCGAGGGGTCATCTGGTAGCTCCATGCACCGGTCATGGATGTCAAGACTACAGGAACGACTATGGCGACAGTGGCCCATTTGCGGACTTTACGGGCTCATGCATACATTTTGGAACAAGGAGTATTTGCTAAATAGGAGCAAAAAAGAGCTTAACTAGAAAAGGGGTGAATAAGGGTTAGTTGTGTTAATGGCAGGACGTGTTCAAGAGTGAAAATCTTTTCGACGATTCTCTCCCCTCTCGAAGAAGTGCACAGTAGATTGTAGCCATTCTGATTAATCTTCAGCGATCCATCTCCTGAAGTAACGAAGTTTACCTATTACCTATTGATAATTGAGCCGAGGTAGGCTTAGTGTATATATACTCGATCAATCGAAGGGCTTTTCAGTATATTATGAAACGGTTCTATAGTCTATTATATCTCAAGCACATGGTCTATGATCTATATCTATGCGCCTACCCAATGCAACTTTTATAACTCCAAATGAATGGCCTCACCAAATACAGCATGGGATCCGAGTTTATTCGAAAATAGATGCCTTCATAGAGTTGGGTTGGATGTATTCCGAGGCATTCCGGAAGCTGGTGAATCCCCAGCGGATCTGAGCAGCCATGGCAATTTCAACATCGAGATCCTTAGCGAAGTGCCAAGTAAGGCCGGTATCACGCTGGAAAGCCCGTCCGACAAGGATGACGTCGATATCATTTTCGTTGAGAATCTGGTCAGCCAAGGTGCCGCTATTGATCATGCCCACAGCAGCAACCAGCATCTTATCACCAACAGCCTTCTTTACCGCTGCTGCAAAAGGAACCTGGAAAGCAGCGCCTGACTTCACTCTTTGAGCACTGTGTACACCACCACTGCTGATATCAATCAAGTCGACACAGCCTTGTTCGGCCAGAGCCTCTGCAAATCTGACTGTATCGTTGACCTTCCAGCCCTTCTCCTCGGGCATGCTGGTTTCCAGCCAGTCAGTGGCAGAAACACGCAGAAAGACCGGGACATTGGGGCCGACAGTATCCCTGGTCAACTTAGCAATTTCCAAGGGGAGACGAAGTCGATTCTCAAAGCTGCCACCGTATTCGTCGGTCCGCTGGTTGGCTGAAGGACTGAGGAAGGATGAGAGCAAATATCCGTGGGCATTGTGAATCTCAATGAAATCAGCCCCAGCAGCCAAAGCGCGCTTAGTGGCAGCAACCCAAGCGTCCTTGAGCTCCTGGATGTCTTCCCTGGTCATCGCCTTAGGGATAATGTCGTCTGGTGCGAATGGGATGGCGCTGGGACCCTTCACATTATCAACCCAGCCACCAACAGCATTGGTGGCAGTGACTCCACCGAGCCAAGGCGCCACTGTGGAGGCTTTGCGCCCAGCATGCGCCAGCTGGATACCGATTTTCTGGCCTTGGCTGTGTGCAAATTCGATGACCTGTTTGATAGGTGCAATCTGGGAATCCTTCCACAAGCCAACGCAGCCTGGAGTGATACGGCCTTCGGGAACAACAGCAGTTGCTTCAATGATCATCAAACCAGGTCCACGTTGAGCAATGCCACCGTAGTGGGTCAAGTGCCACGGAGTCATGTGGCCGTCCTCAGCACTGTATTGACACATAGGCGCCAGCTGTAGAGACTTCATTAGGCAAGTTCTAGCAATACTAGGAGATCACCTACCCCCAGGCGGTTCTGGAATGTCAGTCCTCTGACTGTGAGAGGTTGGAAAAGCTTTGGAATTGGCCTCCCACTAGTCTGCGGGTTTCGAGCTGTACCGGCAGGGGGTGTTTGAGCCGGAGTAAAGTAAGAGATGCCCTCCGCGGGCTTGGTAGGGACATCAGGCCAATTTGCCATGGTTGAGATTGTGTGAGGTTGACTATATCGAAATTTCAGAAGCAGAGAAGAAAGATATTTTGTGACTATTTACCAACTTGAAGATAAGGTGAGTTCTAGATAGCTAAATAGCGAAAAGTTTTAAGTCATACAACCTGTATGAAGGTCTCGAATATATATGTTTTTACATCGTCGCTGATGCGCCTGCCCAGTCAGGAATCCATTGCAATTTGCTGACAAAACATAATGCACCAAGAGAATGTCTCCGAGTGAGTACGAAATTTGAGGTAGATACTAGAAGTTCCCCTTAGAAGTCTCTGCAGAAGCAATTCGGACCAAGGTTTACAGAGTAGGATAGCATTGATGGTGACGCCACCCAGATTTGTCAGGATTTTGAAAACGCGGTACAATCTGTAAGGAAAAGTCTCCGAAGAAACGGCGGGATATGGTTCGGGATCTCACGTAGGGCGTAGCAGATGCCGTGATCCACATCTTTTACCCGTCCGAAAATGATACCGTGTGTCGAGGTGGAGCCGAGCCGATGATGATACTGATCTCGATCTGATACAGTCTACTTCCCCAAGCAACTACTGAAACTGCTGGATGGTAGAAGAATAGAATGAAATGTAGGTGATGAGTCTAACTCAACTGGTCACTCATACACACCCCTGCGAAGCTAGACGCGAATGAACATGTATTCTACTTAAACGAACGTCATCTTCGGAATAGTGGTAAATCCTTTCAAACTAATGACTTAAGTCTGAGGTTCTAACTGATGACAGATGAATAAGCTAAGTGGTCATTGGATATACTGGGGTTAGAGGTACTGTTACTCGTGAATATGCTGCCCAGGTTGCTGTGGAGCTTCTAGCGCAAGCTGATGCCAACTATTGAGTCGACCTCTTGAAATGGGACGAAAGTAGTGAGACTTGGGTGCAATCAACAGGGTTCTGTTTATATGAGTTGTCTGTGAGCTATGCCTTCAGGATAACGCCAGAAAGGCCAAGCCTCAGCCAGATTGGGGGCATGGAGATAATATCTCAAAACTTTTGGTTTCGAACCACTGGCCATATCTTGCATTTCGTTTTGTAGAAAATATTTGGATCTGGGATCTATTTTTCTTTAGATGTAGCTGGACGATTAGCTTCATAATACCACGCATAAAAATGTATTATTGCTACTAAGACTAAAACAGCATATCCTTCGCTAGGATTTGTGGATGAATTGCTATCCACAAGACTCTTATCGTTTTAAGTAAAAGAAAAAGTCCTCGCCAAGTGTCTTGCCTTCCATGATCCCTGCGATGAGTTTGTCATTCACATAGCGGAAATGGTCGAATACCGGCCGCTCATCGTAGATCATAGTAGTTGAAACCACTCCTCGATATACCATCTCCTTCAACTAATTCTCGGTTAATTTCCATAAGACAATTATCTGGAAACTGATCACGTACAGTTGCAAAACCCCACTTGCCCCAACTGGTTCGCTCCCCATCCTTCTCAATGATCACTGGATCCACGTTATTCATGGACTTGAATGACTTGCCCACCCACCGTATCTCTTTCAGGGTGCTTGCAACCTGATGGCCAGTGTCGAAGAACCCTCCATCCCAATCCCCAATCAATTGGTCTGGTTTAATTGGAGGGAGTTTGTCGAATATGGAATTCAGCACAGCGGGCTCCACCGGTTCTGAAGCCTTGATCAAAGTAATGTATTGATCCTGTGCACTGAGAATACTTAGTTGTTATAATCCTATATGGGAATGATAAGGAAGCATACGTAGACATTTTTTCTTCTTTTCAGTTAATGACCAGATAAATTTTTTTTCAGTTCTTAGATTCTAAACTGGGCTTGGTCACTCGATGAGTTGGAATTGCTGTCTCTATATAATACCAAACATAGTGACACACATTATTAATCTTGTCGGACCTTCTATCAGTATTGACTATTAGTATGTAAACTAATCAAAATAATTGCTCCGAACTGCATATTTGACGTCATATGTTGCCGAGAGCCCTTCCTGGTGTTTGTTGGCGCCACTTTGAAGTTTATAGCAGATCCCGAACCAGAGTAAGTAAAAAGGGGGGGGTATGAGGTCATGACACCAGAGAGGGTACAGCTTTCTTCTCCTCTTGCTCGAAACAGATGGTATATAGAGAGCTTCGAGCGCATTAGTATCTTGAGCTTGGTATATTCAGCCTGTCACTCAACTCCAGACTCTTCATCGCGTGAACACTAGACCATGCCTTCGGCTATCGTTACTGGTGCTACGGGTAGGGATCAAAACCTCCCCTCGACCTTCTTAACTTTCCCTCTCTAATTAAAATTCGACAGGCATAACTGGTAGTGCCATTGTCCACCACCTGTGCAAAGACTCTTCCTATGACAAGATTTACTCGCTTTCCCGGAGTAATCCGGGCTACCAGGATTCCAAGATTCAACATGCAACCCTCGACCTTCAAGCTAGTGCAGATGATATGGCGAAGACTCTTGAGGGCATCTCCGCTGAGTATATCTACTTCTGCGCCTATCTGGCACGGGATGACCCTGCGGAATCATCTCGCGTCAATGGCGTTATGCTTTCAAACTTTATCGAAGCTCTGGAGACAACAGGGGCAATCAAGAACTTAAAGCGCTTCGTCCTCACTTGTGGATTTAAGCATTACGGTGTGCATCTCGGTAACTGTAAACAGCCCCTTCTGGAGGATGACCCCATCCTGGATGGTAACAAGGGCGGGGTTCCCTGGCCCCCTATCTTTTACTACAACCAGGAGCGCATTCTTTCCGAGGCCGCTAGTCGCGGTCGGTGGGAATGGATCGTCACACTCCCCGAAGACGTCTTGGGATATGCACGAGGGAACTTTATGAATGAAGCTACTGCTCTAGGTCTATACTGTGCTGTTAGCAAAGTTCTCCCTGGCTCAGAACTGCCGTTCCCCGGGTGCAAAGCGAACTACTTTGCTTTCAACTGCTGGACCTCGGCCAACCTACATGCCAAATTCTGTCTCTGGGCTGCGACCGCAAAGAATGCGGGTAACAACATCTTCAATGTGATGAACGGGGATACGGAATCGTTTCAAAATCTCTGGCCTCGCCTTGCGGCTCGCTTCGGTTGTAAAATCCCCAATCCTATGTTCCCCAATGGTGGGATCCCGGACACGAAAGGTTTCAAAGATTTTGAGTCCACCACAGTTCGGATGCCAAACAAGCATCCGCTGACTGTCCGTGGGGTAGACATTGGCGTTTCTCTCCACCCAGAGAAACAAGAAACTCCAACCTTATTCCTCCAGGTTGACCCAGAAAAATGGGCGAAACGGCGCGATGTCAATGAAGCATGGACCAAGATACGAGATATTTACAAACTTGACCAAGTGGCGTGGGACAAGGCTACATGGGACTTTTTAACATTTGTCTTGGGCAGAGACTGGAGCTGCGTAGGTAGTATGAGTAAGGCTAGAAAGTTAGGCTGGACAGGTTATGCTGATACTTGGGATGAGTTGGAGGAGACATTCAAGATCTTGGAAAAGGAAGGAATCTTGCCACCTGTGGAGCAACTGAAAAGAGATTTCTAATCAACCTATTTCGGTCTATGGTCTAGGGTTAAGTCAGGTTGTGTCGGCAGGGACTAAATAGGAAATGTATGAGTACGCCCTACGCCCTACGCCTCGCTGCACCCTTCGAAGCACGCCCTACATTCCAAGGCGAACCTGATGAGGTCTTAGTTTATGATATGCTATAGTTATAATGTAACGACATATGAGGGTTAGGCGTTACACACTCTATGCAGTTTTTCTTGTGATCGAACTGTTTTATCGGTTATGGCTGAGGGGTTTTATCTAGTCTGCCTCTACTTCTAATTAACTTCAGGCGTACGCTCTTCTTACCACGTGTTTACAACCGGTTCTTACGCAACTAAACATCATCTATTCGCTTTCCAGAAGCGACGCCCAACAGAATACCCAGTAAATACACTTTCGACCACCTCCGGTTTCGCGGAGCTATTTGTTATTGCGCATTTATTCCTAGGACATGACACTAGAATGGTTTACTATATCCATCCCTGAGCAACTGGAAAGGAAATATACACATTTCCAGTTTCAGCAACCGTTAAAGAAGATAATTCAGTCAAATGTCGTCATCAGAATAGGAATCAAGGCATAATAACATGGTTATCACGAAATGCTTACCTGAAGGTTATGTCTGCCTGGGCAAAGATCCCAGAGGCCAAGCTTTACCCTAGTTATAGTGTCCCTGGCTTATCCCGGATCATTGATCAGGACCACGACATGGTAGGTCCGAGTAGTGTCGAGAAGTTGGATAGAATCAAGTTTTCATGAACCTTCTCGCAGCAAATTAAACCCAACATATTATGTCTTGCATCAGACCTCCTGTGCGTTACAGGACACATCTGTTGTTCTGCGGAGCTTAAGCATTCAACAGCAGGGATTTGAAGACGATGGTACCTACGATGGAACCGTCACTTGATATGAGGAACATGATACTTCTGATCCGCAATGGGTTTAGATTACCGGATGTGGAAGACTTTAGGGTGCCCTAGAAGTCATCTCCGTTTCCCTTGCACACACAGAAGTACCATGTTCCTAGCAGATACACTCTAGCTGAAGCATACGGCCGTTATCTAGTATTTTGATGCGTTGGTGTAACTATATCCAATTATCCAAAAGGCTAACATGGAGGACATTGAGCATTGCCTAGATGACATATGGAACGCGTATTCCAATTATTACCATGGCTCACAATAGTTTATTTAGATATGAGTTCTTGCTCTAACCTTAAAGAATTCCCACAAGCAGCTCGTCAGTTAACCCCACATTACAAGTTTCAAGCGTATCTGATCAATTACTCACTTAGACTAGGACTACAGGTAATGCTATTCGAGATTTCTAGCCCTTGATCCCACTAGAACTAACACCCGGCCGTTGTATGACATCAACACTACCCCTGTCAAGTGCTATTCAATATGTTGGTTTAAAGTTAGGATTCCGTTTGCTGACCGGTGATCAGATTGTGGCTTTTATCATTCAGCAGCTCAAGAAAGTGGTAGAAAACCCAGAGCTGTACAGAAGCCATCGCCACGAGATTACGTCCCTTGCATACCGCGTTGAAGTCGAGCTGCAGAGTCCCTTCGCACTTTTCCAGGGTATAATACACGCGGTCAGTTTTCTAGTCGAGTTTGCCCCGAAGTCTTACTAAATATGCATTTGGCAATGCCTATAGTAGCGGTACGTGTATGTCAGCAACACGGGATCCTTCATACGATGCAGGAAAATGTCGAAAAGGGACAACCAGCGACGAGTACGGCATCATTGGCTCAGAATACAAACATCAATGAGCATGGGTTGGAGGCGCTGCTGGAATTAATGGCAGCTAGGCATTTTGTGGATCGCACTTCTGCCAACAAGTTCGCTCCTAATAAGCTAACATGACCTTGTTACCCCGTCCTTCACAGCGTTGAACTCCTTCTTGTCCTCCCCCGGACAACGGTCAACCACTTTTTCAACTAGCTCACAACACCTCAGCCGGGTTCTATGACATGCAAAAAAGCTGACCCAGACATCTCCAGAGTTTTTCAAGATTACCTTCAACTGGAACACTCATACCTGCCCAACTGGCTCAATGTTGTCGATTTCCAAAGCGAGTTCGCAGAGAACATATGCATAGAAACGGTGTTATTTGTAGATGTAGGGGTTGGGAATGGTCAACAGTGCGTGAATCTCCTAACTGAATATCCAAACCTGAAAGGGCGAGTCATCCTTCAAGATACTCCATCCGTGATACAAGCTACCCTTCCACATAGCCGCGTAGAAAGGATGGCCTATGACTATTTCACGGAGCAACCAATGATAGGTAAAACGCGGCATTCCTGGCAAAGGAAACGTGGATATGGCTAACTGATATGGCTCATCGACTCACATTACAGGTGCAAAGGCCTATCACATCCGACAGATTTTTCATAACAATGATGATGACGCGTGCATTCGCATTCTCCAGGCTCTTTTTCCCGCCATGAGCTCGTAATCTACACTTTTTATAAATGAAAATGGACTACCGGACGACGAACCATCTACAGAGTATAGGGCAAGCCTTTCGATGACAATGATGGCCTTGTTCAATAACTACGAAAGACGGGGGAGGGATTGGCACCAGCTCCTGGGCAAGGTTGGTCTTACGGTCAAGGAGATTAGAAGGTTTAGCCGGCACGGGGATAGTATCCTTATGGAAGTTAGGAAATAGAGCACTGTATCAAGTATGGTAGTATGTAAAATGGTTTCAGAAATTTACAATGATCTCTCTTCCTCTTGTTGGAAGCCTCTATTGGTATTGGTTCTCCGGTAGAACGTAAATAAAGTCACGCGAACGGATTTCAATCCGAATGCACTGAGGCTCCATGGCGAACTTTAACGCTCTAAGCTCTAGGGTTTGCATTTGTTCCTATGATAGCCCTGTTTTCTGTCATTTTAGGGAGGAGCTCATACATGGTGCGGTTTACGTTCATTCTTCAGGGATACCGTTGATCCGACAGGTTCGGTCCCATGATATACGTAATTACGTATGAATCAATAGTTAACTGTACTACATGCCACTAAGTTACACGTCTAAGAAATTGACTTAATATAAAATATCAGAGAACCGATAACGGTGGAGCAACATCCGGTTCCTAATCGGGTAATAAACGGCTCGCGTCTCAACCGGCAACAATTGCTAGCTGGGGCCACGCACCCTTGCAGAATGGAAAGATTTTAAGCGAGAATTCTAGATTGATTTTACATGATTCATGGACTGGGTCTCAAACCTGCCCACATGGTTTAGCTTCTTTTCACAAATGTCGTACGACGAGGGATCGGCCAGGCGTCAGTGGATACCATTACGAATGCCACGCGGTGGGCATTGCCGATCACCAGTTGCAAGTGTAATCCCAACCACTCGGACAATGAATCCGACCGTTGAGATATTCGGTTAAAATCATGCATAGATTCTGGGACCCTGTGTAATTGTACATGTTTCACTATCACTAAAGTCGGGGCGTTGTTCTAGCATGTTGTGGGAACCAAATGCGGGTTTTCCTTTTCCCGGCATAAATAGAGCTGAATTATGAAAATTAAATGCGGTGCAGAGAGTGGATATGATAGTGGATTGCTGAAGTGCACGGAATCTATCCTAGCACTGTGTGTTCGCAATACTTACCGGACGTAGTTGAATCGCACAATCTGGGGAACTTCCCAAGCCCTTGTAGGACAAGTAGAGGCTATGACAGTCGCCACAAAACCCATTTGAAATATGTTGTAAAGAATACTATTAGGGTCAGATGTTCAAGGCATGGCCTAGGCGCCATATGGTGTTTTGGCCGGGTGGTATTGAGGAATACTATTGCTACTGATGATAAATTGAATCTTCCTGAATAGGAGGATATGCAAATATGAGGGTTGTACGGTAGTTCTGTTTATATTCATAAGATCGTTCGGCATGGTTATAATGTTGTCCATGCATGCATCTATACAAGTTTCTATTCTATGAAAGTTTGTACATAAGGAAAACGACAAAAGAGAGGAAGAACGACTCAGCAGTCGGGGTTTGGAGAGTGATGTACCGTGTATTCCACGTCCTTCTTGATGATCATCTTAGTACTCCCCTCACTCCCGATACTATTTCGATCATCACGATCTGAATGGCCACCGGTCGATGAGCCAGGTTGAGCAGATGTAACTGTTGTCTCTCCGGCCCCAACCTTCGGCCGGAATAAATCTGGCTCGGGCGCAGCAACGGATCGATTCTGAAGCGACTGTAGTGCGTAGCTGCCTTGGTTGCTGCGACCACGATCTGACGCGTAGGGGTAACTCCGACTAGTGCTGAGGTTGGAGTCACCGGCGGTACCGTAGGACGTCGTGACGGCATTCATAAATGGACGAAGACAGAAGGCTGTACAAGCAATTAAGGAGTAGTTTAGGGCGACTTGCGTCCAGGTGTAATGGTTAATTGCATCGAAGGTAGGATTCCGAGAGGAGGTAAATGAATGAAACTCAGAGAGCCGCACGGCTTCGAAGGCAACGAGCCTAGCCATTATTTGGATTAGCATTGGTGTGCCAGGGCTTGGAGGACAGGTTCGACAACATGGAACACATACGGAATCCTGGAGGCGAAGGCCATCATGATCACTAACTTCGGCTTGATGGCCATCTGGAGCCCGTATATTAAGACTATCGAAAAGATAAATAAGGCGACTTCGGTAGCGATGTCAATAGCCGTGATGAATTGCCATCGTGCAAACTACCGTTGTTGTTAATCATTACCGAGGTTTATTTATGCTGAGCACCCTGAAATCGGGCGATAGACGTACCAGGCTGGTGCAATGTTCGCCAGGAGTCACCCACGGTTTATTAAGTGAGCAGTCAATGGTGATCACAAGGACGGAGATAACTATCCCTGCCGTTGCGAGGGCAAGGATTCCCCATAAGGTATTTTTGTGTCTTCTCCGAGGTGTCAATCGCGAATAAATGGCCACGACGCAGCATCTTGAAAGGTACAACGTGATGAGATAAAAAACATCACTCGCGACAATTGACTGAACAAGTATTAGATAACTTTCATCTGCGGGCTTCACATAGTTTCCATGAGCAGCAGAAAGTAACCTACATTTTGGATACTCCTGACGACATGATCGTCAAGGAGGCGGATCGCCGTTCCGAATCCGATGGATGCGGCATGGAAAACAATAATCGACTCCACAACTGCGGAAACCTGAAATTTAGGAAATAAGCAAAGGCGAATGTGAAGTCATCTTGGCAAGTATTCAAATTCATCAAGCACAATGGGGTGAACTGCACTTACAGTCGCTCCCAGAAGAATCACATCGTCGATCCCGAACGGTGGACTAAGCAAGAACCGGACGTAGAGCCGGATTAGCAGACACACCAACGACAACACCAGACAAATAGCGGAGACTATAATGATAATTCCAGCATGGTGGTCAGCGTCAACCGTTTCGAATGGCGGCGATTGTCCAGGAGGTACTTTGATAGCCATTATCTTCGAATGGCCGTACTTTCTAGATCAAACGCGCCATGCGAGCCGGTGTTGAATGGTGCAGATGTCAAAAGCAGCCACCGACAGGGGTTGAAGCTGAGGGTGGAAAAAAAAGAAATATGGCAGGGGTTCGGGTCAATGATTCATATGTATATTGACCGGAGTTAGTGCGCTGCATCGAGAGATTTAAAACTGCTCCAACAGGGTAGCGATCGTGGGAGCCTGGGTGTCCCATATGATATGCAATAAACTCGCATGAACCATAGACGTGGTACTGGCGCTACCACATGAGTAGCTTGTTGGTGCGTGCCCTTGGGGGCACACGACTATGGAAATTGATTGAGACTCAGTGCATTTTCAAGTCTCAGGTTACTTTGTCTATGGTCGGGCCCGATCTGGACCCGTAAGCCCGATCTTTGATTTGATTCTAAAACTTTAGGGCTTAACAAAGTCGGCATATTGTAAAATAATCCCTGCAAAGAAGGACTCCATCGTTGCATTATACTTACTCCAAACTGCTCCGTAAGTTCCGTAGAATCCCTGTTACCCTGGCTAGTGAGCTGCCAATAGACCCTTTTAAGGTTTCAAGTCTTCCAGCAGGGCTATGCAGACGATGGTCTGGTAATTCCTGCGCCTGTCACCCAAGCGAAACCTATGCTATATCCGAATTTACCAGTGTAGAAGTCCAAACAAGGCTCAGCCACCTAATCGCGCGCACTCAAAATCGTACGATCCAGCACCTTCTATGAACTTTAACTGGGTACCTGAAGCAACGCAACCGCCACGAACTGGCCCAGTGTCTCTTAATTAAAGTTTGGTCTTTAGGCTCTTCCGCCCCATCCGAGCATTCTACTGTTAACATGAGAGTCAAGGTTCCATCCAATCGGGGCTCCCAGGAGCACAGGTCAAGACTGAAACTATGACAAATTTAACATTCGCGGCAACTCCGACGCACATATGGGTCCCCTCTGGCCCCCAGCTCGTAGCAGTTGGAGTTGAACTAGTGACACGTTAGGTGAAAAGGTAATATGCGGAAATACTCCCGAACTATTGTTTCCTTGTCCCGTCGTATTCTTTATTGCTCTGTTTCAGATTACTTAAAACATATGTTCGTTAGGGGTTGAGTATATGGTGTTCCAGTACTGTAAGTCGTTTTCGTCCAAAGAAAGGGTGTTGAGTCTTGACCGACCCCAAAATTCTGTACGAACGAATAAGCCTCGGCAAAGTGGACTAGATCTTCAGTTAGAATGGCGTTATTCTCCTCGAAAAATTTTCATTCGCGGGATATGAGTTAATATCGAGGTGGATTCCACACTTCAGCAACAACAGGAAAGTTGAGCTAGAAAACAACCAAAACCCAGACCCACTATTCTTAGGGCAATGCACGTGCCAAGCCGCTACACGGAATATGTCAGCTGTGATGTTATTAATGTTAATATAATAGATTGTTGTAACCACGCTACTTATGCAACTAATTGAGTATTTGGTAATGACCTTGTTCTTCATCATTCAACCAAGAGAAGAGGTCCATTGCCTCGTGGTATACACTTAATCTAGTTCCACACTCACCAACGTGCGCTTACTGCTCATCCCCTGTTAACAGTTGTCTTTCCCTTTAAAGCGATCTCCACTACGGGATCGGCAGTCCCGCCAAGAGGGCTTCGTAATAAGCTTCGAGCGGACCCTGACTATCGAGGTTCCTGTCTTCTCAGTGATCTGGCTCTGGGTAAGAGGACGATGGATGTGGGGGCGTCAGTGGAGCTGCGGTGGGTCTTGGAGTTGGTTTGGCCTGATTATTCGCTGGAACCCAGAGAGTGTGACTATCAGGTTGCACTGTGCAGGAAAGACAATGAGGGGCTGAAGTTTAGCAGATTTTTCCTCTTCAAAAAGAAAAAGCTACGGGCGCAGGACAGGCGTGTCTTCAAGACAGGAACTCGATACAAATCTCCTTTCTATACTATCTATTTCCAATTAGAATTAGGTGATTATAACCCTAGTAAAAAAGTATACAACCTCAAATGTCACGCTTGACTAGAGCAACGGGAGGGACGTAGACGTGCCGGCCGCGGAAGATGTAGTATAGAATGGCAATAATCATAATGCCGCCGTACATCACCACGCACCAGTTCATCGACTCTCGGTCGACTGTTGAGGTCAGGGGGAAGAAAGCGAACACAAACACCGGTACCAAGAAACACAGGGCACCGATGTTAATGGCCATTCCAAACCGACCCAGGCTCCACCGACGAGGTGGAAGGGGCTCGCCGCGGATCCGCTTGAGCAGCAAGCACCCAATCGTAATTACGTATGAAGACATCAGTGATCCGATGGTCAAGGTGACGATAGCCAAAAGAGCCGTTGTCGAACCGATGTTGATCAACGACAGGAGTACCGTTACCATAAGAGAAACCATCACCGCATTAAGCGGAATGTTCCACCCCGGAGTAACCTATATATGGATCAGCACCGATGGCCTGAGGTTGCCAGCAGACGGGGCGGTTTCACTTACGTATCCAAAGAACCCGGAAAATGGAAGACCGCCGTCTCGGGCAAAAGACCAAAGTTGCCGAGAGGCCGTGGCCAACTCGGTAATCGTACTCGCAGTGAGTGTAAGAACCAAAATTGCGGTCATGGTGTTCGTGCCGGGAAGACTATTGGTAGCATTGTAGAACACTTGAATAAATGGGTAGCCGGTGGGGGTTGCGAGGACCTCGTCGATATCACCCAAGGTGAAACAGATCGTCACCAGCATGAGAAATCCCGCACAGTCATTGATGAGAACGGAAGTGATCATAGCCTTTGGGAGGGTCTCAGATGCATCTTTGATTTCTTCGGCTGGGTGCATTCAATTTTATTAGCCGATGTTCCAAATCCAACTGGAGAATGTTGTACTTACACATGTGCACGGCACAGTCATATCCAATTAGAGCGGTAATAGTAGTGGAAAATCCAACTAATGTTGCTGTCCCAGCGCTGTTCCATCCACCACCGTTGTTGAATTCTGTAAAGACCTGTTGGGCGCTTCTTCGAGGAGCCAGAACCCAGAGAGGGATGATAATGGCAAAGAGCCCAACGACATGGAGGATAAGAATGAGGACTTCGACGAACGGCAGTTTCTTTGCCAGGAATGTATTGAACAAGATGCCGAAGAAGGTGATGGCAATCACCAACAGCGTGCCGTGCCAGCGCTCAAAGACATAATCATCATGGTTGAGCACAATGAGACCCTGAATAATCGTACCTGCAAGGAAGGCAATTGAGACGATGGCACATTGCCAGCCCATAGCACACAGCCAACCTTTTTATGTGAATAAGTCATATGGTCCAGGATCGGGGGAGCAAGCATTCCTTACCGGTGATATAACTCAAGAACTTCTGGCAACTACGAGGCGCGAATTCGGATACCCAATGGTATTGACCTCCAGATGTCGGAGCCCTGTGTATATCAATAAGCACCACCGAAAGGGATCAAGATCGGGGAGCAATTACATAGAAGCCATTTCAGCTAGACTGAGGAAAACGAGCAGGAATCCACACGCGACGATAAGGAAACCCCAGATCAAGCCAGCGGTACCTCCATCGGTCAAACCTTGCTCGAGCAGTCTGTAGGATAGGGTTAATATTTAGAGAAGTGAGGTTCGCAACACCCAAGAGACATACGTCAGGATAACCTCCCATGTTGCGATCAATGTGCAACCAAAACCGACAATAGAGATGAACCGGAAATTTCTCTTCCATGAAGTAAGCAACAAATTGCATGTTTGATCAAGACCAACAAAAGACATACACGTAGCACCTGTTCTCGGCCCAGAGCACTCATGTCCGCCTGGTCCTTCACAGTACCTCGGTATTTAGCGGGCACGAAGTGACCTCCTTGCGCCGCTTCATCGCCATAGGTAGTTGAGACTTGGGGGCCACCTTTCAGACTGTTGAGCGAGACCATATTGGAGACACCGGCGCAACTAGTTGCGCATTAAGAAAAATGTAGTTCAGGAAAAGGACGGGTTCAGCACGACAGGGATGTGAAGAAAGAAACCGAGTGTTTAAACCAGAGGAGCTCTAAAATAAATTAGGCGTAAATTAAACTAGAAGTAAAAACCAGAGAAACCAGATGAAACGAGCACGTTGAATCTACTAGCAGATTTAGATGCGCCACTCGCTCGGAGATTTTCAAAGCCGGAACTGGTCTAGGGAGTTGGAGATTTGGAGTTCGTAAGGATCCCCTGATATCCGAGTCATCCATCGTGCTAATGCTGTTCTAGAAGCAATCTAGCAAACTAAACGGCATTTAACAAGCGACTGACTCGGGAACTGTTGCCACAATTAGAAATCCCGGTAACACATGCAGAGCTATAAACGATGATGCAGAGGCAGCTACGTTCAGGATTAATTCCTTCGAGGTTCTACTCCGTACAAGGTTACATAGAACCCAGGCGCTATTTGCCAGATAGGGAAATGAATAATGGAAAATAAAAAAAAATACAAAAGAAAAAGAAAACGATCTAACTCTGTCCGCGTTCCATGGAAAGACCAATCTAAGTGCAATATTTTGATTGATATCCACTCGTAAAACGCCATTGCATCAGCCCATAAGCACACTATCCCTTTAGTTCATCGCCAAACAGCCAACCGGATCTAGCGAAGATCCCCCTTGGATTCTCCATACGAACCATCCAAAAGGAGATTTCGGCCCATCCCGTCATAGGCAGAACCAAATCGCGTTTTTTGATGACAATCTGGAACATTGACTGTGGGGGGTCAGTAAGGGACGTTAGACTCTCTGCGCGTGTTTCTGTTATGCAAACTCTACGAGGCTGGAATGCAACCGAGCAACATTAACCCCTCTCTCAAGAATTACCCTTCTTGTCATAGTCATCAGGGTTACTTGGCACCGATTCTGCTTTAGTAATGTCACCGGTGATTGGTTGCTCGTCATTGCTGGCCTGATTCTGGAGAACTTGATACTCGGGACTTGCATCCCGTTGTCTGCACTCATGGACGAGGTAGGGCTTCATAAGTCACGACTGATGGATCTTCACAAAGTCTAGGACTTCAACACTCGATAGGCATCATTTGTAGCAATCATGACCTCGGCTACCGCGATCGCGATCGGTATCCTTTTAGTGGCTTTGGTATACAAATATGTCATTCATCCGTACTATGTATCGCCAATCTCCGGCGTCCCCAACGCACATTTCACATCACCGGTTTCGAATAGGTGGATAGAAAAGCAACGCAATGCAGGCAAAGAAGTCCTTACCATCTACGACTTGCACCAAAAGCTCGGTCCTGTGGTCCGACTGGGGCCGGACGAACTGAGCGTGAACTCGCTTAGTGGCCTGAAGACAATCTACACGGGCGCATTTGAAAAGCATTCATTTTACAGTGACGTTTTTATCAATTTCCAAACGCCTAATCTAGTTGGAATGCTACACAACAATCCGCATGCTCGTCAGAAGCGTATGCTCAGCAGGATCTACTCCAAGTCCTATCTACAGGAGTCGCGGGATCTGCGCGATATCTCCAGCATCGTTCTGTCCCAAAGATTGTTTCCAATACTACGGCGTGTAGCCAAGTCCGGAGAGGCGATCAATGTGCTGCCTTTATTCCAAGCCGTGGGGATGGACTTCACGTCGTCTTACTTGTTCGGCACAAAGAATAGCACCACATACATCTTCCATCTTCCGAAGTGGCAACAATGGCTGGAGGAGTATGAGAAGTTCAAGTACATGAGTGTACAGGATCGGTATATGGGTTTCATCGAAAGCTGGTGCCTTTCACTTTGTCGTAAGGTCGAGGATAACGATCAGCCGAATGATGTGCCTATCGCCACGAATGCAGTGGTGTATAACCAGCTTCGTCAATCACTTGAGAAGGACCCCGACAACCGGCCTCTCGAGTTAGCCATTGCATCTGAAGTACTCGATCATCTGGTGGCAGGTCATGAAACTAGCGGGATCACTTTTACCTATATGATGTGGGAGCTCTCTCAACACCCAGAGCTGCAAGCCGAGTTGCGCCGAGAGCTCCTCACGCTGACTCCAAATCTGAGATCTCTATCCGTCTCAGATGATGCAGAGGGCCTACCATCTCTCCCTTCGCCGTCGGCAATTGATGGTCTTCCCCTACTAGATGCAATTCTCAGAGAAACTCTTCGGTTACATTCCCCTGCACCAGCGCCATTACCTCGCGTAACACCAGCCTCCTCAACTGGCGTATCAATTGATGGTTACCACAAAATTCCTGCCGGCGTACGTGTGAGCTCTTCTTCGTATTCTTTGCACCGTATCGAAGATGTTTACCCTCAATCGTCGGATTGGCTCCCCGAACGTTGGCTCAAGCCTGAACCAGGCAAGATCCACGATATGCGCCGACTGTTCTGGCCGTTTGGAAGTGGTGGGCGCATGTGCTTGGGTAGTAATTTTGCTCTGCAGGGTAGGTCAATCATAGTATTCGGATGAAATTGTGCGCATCCGCTTCCACATTACTGTACTAATCGAAGGATTTTACAGAGATCAAACTCGTAATGGCGGCGGTCTACACGAACTTTACGACTTCTATTGTTGACGACGAGGGCATTGAGCAGGACCATGCATTCATTTCCCTACCCAAGGGTCGCAAGCTCATGTTGAAATTTACTCCTGTGACGGAGACATGATCTGACGCATGGGAAGACAAAAATGATTATGGATTCAATTATGATTAAAGGAATGAGTGATATCCTTTCTATTTCACTTGTAACCAGCCAGGAACTGCTCACTACGAGAATGATAGCTATCTTCCCATGTTAACATCTGGATTTATGAGGATATGAAGTAGCGCAATGACGATCATCATCTATTGTACACCCCCGTATAGGAGAAGCAGGTATGCGGGATTATCCCAAAAACAAAAAAAAAAAAAAAAAGGTCTGCCCTAGACCTTTGGTGCCTAACGGTGTCTCGGGACGCGTAGAACATGTCGAAACACTGGTCTGCGTGAGTCCTTGCTCAGTACTCCGGGTCAGAATGACCGCAACCTGGCCTAAGCTCACAGGGCGAAAAGGTCATTCCTTTCGCGCTGTACTGGTGAAACGTGGTCTCGCAAAGCTGACTGGCTAATAAAACCTTAGAAAACTTGTTCTGCGTAGCTTTCTGGTTACTTCCAACTGGTGAAGCAAATTGACCGTTGTGATGTGGCCTACGTTGTGTTACTCTGACGTGTCAATGCATGACACGCAAGGCCACCATATACCTCTGCTTTGCCTCAACTATACCCAACGCAGTACTATGTTTACGACGGAATTTAAAATGTACAATGTCTCTCTCCTGTACATCGAAAGTACGGCAGCTGTGTCTGTTAAGTTTTCCGATATCCTGGTAACGGCTTTTCCTGAAACTTGGCATGATGTTGGATCTGGATGATATGAGGAAGCGGTATAGAGAGCTGAGCAGTGTTGAAGATAGTAAAGGGAAGATTATTGAGGTTGGTCCGAACCTATATCCAATTCACCGCTCGTGTTAACTTAGCCTGATGGTTTGCAGGAGCTATTCTCTCAAGTTGAGGAGCTGCAGAAAGATCTCACAAAAGCCCATGATGAGCTCGACAACTATAAGGAGCTCGCTGCGATGTTCAAGGATAAGTCAAACAAAGACAAAGAGGCATTGGAGATGAAGAACCGTGATCATGTAAGTCAAGTCGATGGCGCCCTATCCGCTACTAGGGTGAGTCTGTCTAATACGGTACCATTCAGGCTAGACTGAGCTTTGTATCTGTCCTTGTTGATGGCGACTGTATGAATGTGAGTGTCCTAATCCCCTGCATCCCCAACCCATTCCATTCCTGTTTCGTCGCTGACACTCGCTCTATTCTTAGTTTCAAGATAATCTCATCCAAAGTGGATATGACGGCGGTCAAAAAGCTGTACAGCTTCTGAGGAAAGCGGTCGAGGACTACCTATTTCAACTTGACCCCGACCCCAGGATCCAGTGTAAAATTCGTGTATATGCCAATGTGAGCGGCCTGTCAAAGACGTATCGTGAAACGAACATTGCCCCTATCGACGGGACCCTAGAGGCGTTTATCCAGGGATTCAACATGGAAAACGGGCTATGTGACTTCGTGGACGCCGGAAACGGAAAAGAATGCTCTGACGTGAAATTACGAGGTGGGCTATATATTCCCCGAAGCAGATGGTATACAGAGTTACTTACTGGTTTTGCCTCTCAGCCCTATTTGAGCAAGATATCCTCGATGTTCATTGTCAGCGTGTTATATTCTGCGCGTCTGCGGACAATGGATATGCACGCGTGCTGGGACCACATCGAGAGTCCCACCGTATCTCCCTCGTCGAAGGGCCTTCCTTCGCGCGTGAAATGAAAGAGTTAGCAGCGCATTTTGAAACCACAAGCTTCCCAGACATTTTCCGGTCCACAAAAATAATCTCCAGGAGAGTATCATTCAGCAATGTCACTCCGCCGAGGACACCCCCTCAGAACTACGCTTCTGCAGTGAAAACGTCACCACCTCGGTCGCAATCAACGTCGGATGTGAATCGACGATCGCCTTCACCCCTTACTTCAGCTCGAATCTCTAATAGAAATCGCAGTCCCATCCGGTTAGCGGTGTGCAAGAATGCGGCAGGCCAGCGTGTTGATCCCCCCTTGCGGTATTCCACCAAGGAGAACGTGGATTCTTTGAAACAACGCAAGTTGTGCAACCCTTATCATATTGTGGGCTCATGTCCCTACGGGGAAAACTGTAACCATGATCATGAGTCCCGGCTTCGGCCTCAGCAGGTAGAAGATTTGAGGTATATTGCTAGGTTGAGAGTCTGTCCGAGAGGCGTGTGGTGTGCGGAGGAAAGCTGTGTTTGCGGTCATCGGTGCCCTAGGGAGAATTGCCTGGGTCCTGGGTATAACGGGTGCAAGTTTCCCAAAATCATGCATGGAGTTGATTCTTCAATTGTGGCTACTACTTTGTGAGATCATATGGCTGTCCAGTGATGCTAAGGAAGTCATCTGTTAGTTATTGTTCACTGGATTGCTATTCCTCAGATACATACTATTTATCTCCGGTCAGCAACTACGTGATGTCATTTTTGTGTTATTGTGTGTGCGGCTTAGGGATGTTATGCCCTCCTCGACTAGAATGAGAAGATGCAGTATTTATTATGTTTTGCTGGATGAGGTTTAAGTCCGTTGTCTATCAGGGAGCCCATTCAAACGACATAGAAGGAAGACATCCATCCTATTTCCACGATTGTCCTTTGGTACCCCATAGTGGAGCTACGTGTATAGCTTGGAAGGTATATTTTGACAGAACTATGACATTCTGAGCACATGCTTCGTATTCTCTTTACATTTCCACAGCCAGACTAATAGTGAGAGTTGTTGTTTCCTGTGGCATGCAGCTCGGTTTTCCTGTGACCAATCACGCGAATAGATTTCCGAAATATCATATCAGTACACGCGTAGAAGTCCATATAAAGCAAGCCTCGTACAGTCTTGCATAAACTAGACAATAGGAAAGGACGATAAAAGAGGTTTGAGCCCAAAAATCGCGTTGTTTCAACATGGTACTGACTGTACCACTCACGACAAACACAGTCCTCGAAAGACAAAAGAGAAAAATAGCAAAGGACACTTAGCGGTATAGTTTGTAGCTCAAGCAATAGTCCGTTTTATATCTTCGTCTCGTTTGATACCTTCTGCAACAACGGAATCGAATGCATCACTCTCCTGCCTCGAGACATCAACACCATCAAAGTCCATTGTAGTATCATCTCTGGCGGAATCATGCACATCAATATAATCTCTAGGTTCGTACCAGCCAAGGGTTCGCACCATTCCCACGATAGGAAAGCAAAGGCATATTAAATAATATCCAATGAATGCAATCAACAGTCCGGTCGGATACGAAACGTAATAGAACCGTTGAATAGATAACGGAGCCTTTACACCCAGCTGGCTCAGAAATCCATAAAAGCTCGGGGCTATTGAGACTAGATATACTGCGAAGGCACGGAAATTGATGCCGCGCAGGTAATGATAGCGACCCTCCGGATTCATGGTGTACAGTTCTGGGATACAAAGCCGGCCTCGGCGGATCAGATAATAGTCGCAGAGTAGGACTCCTGCAATGGCGGAGAGAAAGATCTGATAGGAGGAGAGAAACTTGATGAAAACAGCGGCTGACGATAGTAGATACCACGGACAAATGGCGTAGGATAGAACTGAACTCAGAGCTAATTAGCAATCATAGACTAGTTGAGATTTCGCCTAAGAGTCGCTTGCCTGCGCATATGAAAACTGCACGCTTGACATTGAGGTATTTTGGAAGCAAGGCTGCTATATCGTTTCCCACTCTATATGTGAATTAGATCATAGAGAGTGACTTCAATGGGAATATATATCAAACTTACGGTATGGAGTTCTCAAATATATTGGTGAAGATAGTTGAGTATACAAAGCCAAGAGAGATAAAAAAGCAACCAGCTCGGTTCCCGGCTGTATAGCGATCGCCTTCCATGAGACGTTCGAGAATATTAATGGGGTTCCATATAAGCTGAAGCTGTCAGATCAGCTATTACTGAGGAACATTCGTGTTGAACCATACCTCCCCAAATATAGGTTCACTGGTAGCAGCTATAACACAGCCCATGATGGCAATGATAAAGTTGGCCACGGGAAAGCTGAACATTTGACCCAAGATAACATCGTTCGGTCTTCTAGCATATCGCTGAAGATCAGCAGCATTGGAGACGAAGGTGGCAACGCTTGCGAGCCCTAGCCAGAAGAATTTGGCAACCATCCAGGACTTTTCGGTACCGTGGATTGTTGAATGCGACCGAAGTGTGTGGTTAGAAGATCCAGATAAAGAGAGTGTCCAAGCCAGCATAGCGACAGTGGCACTATAATAAGCTACCACTTTGATATAGACGAGTAGCCTCATCTTGGGTATAGGGATAAATAGAAATGCGCAGTTGACGAGCCTAAATAATGTCAAATTTACCGGCAAATTACAAGATGTCCACCATGAAAGGATGAAAGTACCAGAACACGAAAAAGCATATCATTCCTGCACTGGTAAGGGCAGACTTGGAGCCCATAGTATTAGGAATTTTAGCCATCGACGGGAAAATGGAATGCAGTAGTACACTAGGCGAGCTGTTATTAGCGATGACCATAGCTATGCATTGAAATAGCGGGACCGGCATACTTCAGGCACTGCGCACCCTGGACAGCATTGACGCCGTTCCATACAATGGCCATTACTGCGCGGTTAAATGTAGGCCAAAGAGCCCCAAGTGGACCCCAGCTAGACCGACAGAGAACCGGGAAAGAAATGCGATACAGGGCACCAGCGCGACCATTCAGAGCCATGAGAATGCCTGCCAAGATCTGTCCCCCTAACTGACAGATAATGGACTCCCACATAGACAATCCGACTGTCAAGCCGGTTGAAGCAGCGTAGAGATTGCTCACATTTCCCGATGCCGAGAACCAGAAGGCTATGTAAGTAATATGAGACCATGTTCGATCTTGTACCCTTGTTGGCCTTATCGAGTCATTGTCGAGAAATTCAACCGTCCGAGGGGTGCCATCTCGGTCGACACTTTTCACGGTCAATCTCTCGTGCAGAGTAGTTAGGACTTTCATGGTGACTTATACAGGGAGATGAACCTGCACAAGGTAGTACACAACCTTGCAAGGTATCGTCAAACGGACAGCTCCTACAGGCTAATTTATAGCTACTCATAGCCAGCCCACGGAGTCAGCCGATGTGCGACTTGTTACTTTTTTTGAAGTGGTACAAAAAGAAGTTAACTCCCGCGGATGGCGCATCAGACAAAGAATCCTCCAAATCACCGGATCTTGGATCCTGATAAAGCTCCAAATATGGCAGGGATAATTTCTTGGGTCGACCAATGTTTGGCTAGGGTTAGGCCATGGCTTATCTCCCCCGCATGAACTGCCGTGGCCACTTCATCGGCGATTGCCGAGTTGGCGTTGGGTATATATAACCATCATATCAAGATCAGATTAGCCCAAGTTCAACTCAACCGTTCTTACGATAGGTCTCTTATCTGATGCTATTGTTTCCTATGACTAAATCATGACTACACAAACATACACACAAATCGAACTCTTGAGTGCCAATGGCACAGTGTCGCGCCGCGTGTCAACTGCGCCCCCCAGACTGCCAACGGATGATGAAATTCCAGTCATTGATCTGGCACCCATCGATGGCACTCTGGATGAAAGAAAGGCCTTGGCTTCCAGGGTTAAAGCGGCATCCGAATACACAGGCTTCTTTTATATTCGCAATCATGGGATTCCCGAGGAGCTAATTCAGAACTCGCTGTCACAAGCAAAGACCTTCTTCAACCAGCCACTAAGTCAGAAGATAAAGATTAATTTTAGTGCCTCGAAGGTCTCGGCTGGTTACCATGGAGTGGGGAGCACGCAGGTCAATCGTAAAGAGACGAGAGGCAAGTCATTCGCTCATGATCCCTGTTCCTAGCTAACATTCGAAGGCAGATCTCAAGGAGACTTTCTCGATGAGATACGACCCAAGAATTGATCCAACTTGCACTGACCCCAAGAGTGCTCTTGAACAAGAAGGTGAGTCTCGCGACGATGGTGACTATATCTGGAAGGGAACTAGTCATCTTCCAAAATTTCAGGAAGTGACTGTTTCCTTCTGGCAGAGTCGCTTGGCATTAGCCCGGAAATTGGTCCGCATTTTCGCTCTCGCACTCGGCGAGCGAGAAGACTACTTTGATGGTGTCACCAGTCATCCGGGTGCAGATGCACTCTATATCCACTATCCGGGAGTACCAGATGTTGCGGCCGGCTCAAATATTGACGTTGGCATTGGATCCCACACCGACATCCAATGTTTCACTCTGCTCTGGCAGGACAACTCCGGCGGTTTGCAGGTACTGTCTGCCCAGGATGAGTGGCTTGACGCCCGTCCAATTGGAGGAACACTCGTAGTCAACATTGGGGACTTCCTTCAACGCCTCTCGAATAATAAATTCAAATCTACGGTCCACAGGGTATATAACCGTCAACCGGACTCGCGCTATTCGATGCCGTTTTTCTTTGGGTTCAACCCCGAGGCAGTCTGTAAGGTTGTTCCATCCTGCGTGGATGATGAGCATCCGCCTCTATACGAGCCAATCTCATGCGGTGAAGTATGCTCTGAGTACTCTGACCAGTTTGTTACTTCCTTGCTAACCCTAGTAGTGGCATAGGGTGCGATTGGCACGTTCTCGGGTTCATAACGGGGGAGAATAACATATTAGAGAATATTCAGTCCTTTTCAGTGGTCTGAGCAACATCAAAGCTATTACATTGCATTTTGTAAGTTTCTTTTTGGCTACTATTACACGATGATCCCACGTAAATGAAGATTGTAAAATCATGTGGGTAGGCGCCTTTCTTTAGGGGGTTTAAAGTCAGGATGGAGTGCATCGATTTACACTCTCTTATCGTCAATCAATTCCTAAAAGCTTCTCTATGATCTTATACTGGGATTCAACATGTAGGCTAGAAGTTCAATTCAATTCTATTTCCATTCGCTGCGAATTCTTAAGCTTACCTTTTCGCTGAAAGCTATGCTAATTGAAACTGTCATTGACCAGACCAAGTTTGACAACTAGAAGGGACTAACGAACCAGGTTCTAAGGGACTTGACTCGAATCGATGCGCTTTAATCCTGGGCACCATTTTAAAGAACCAATGCTTGGCAGAGAGGCAACGCTGAAGTCCAATGGAGAGCACAGACATCGTCACGGTGCCCACCACATTTAGGCTGAGAGCGGCAACCCCACTCTATATATTACTGTCCGAATATCCATACTTCGTACGGCCCCCATAAGTAGACCTGCCCTACTTACTACGCGCGTCTCCATCCATCCAGGCCATCACAATGCTGCCGCACGGGTTCACGCTCCTGCTGCCACTCATGGCAGGCGGCGCCGCTGCCGCTAACAACAATAACACCAACAATACTAATATTGCTGGTCCTGATGGGGTCATGGAATTCGACCTTGTCTTCCCGCGCAACGAGACATATGCGCCTACGCAGTACTTTCCTCTTGTCCTGACTGCCCGCAATTCCTCCGCCGCCTGGCCGAGCGGCATGATTCTTAGCATGACCATTTGGCCTGACAACGAGGATACGCCGCCCTGGAACAGCAGATTCAACTTCCCGGCTAAAGGCTACACTTCCGGCGCGCCGCCCTCCGAGCCATACTTTGCCATCGCCGGCACCAACTTGACCAACGGCACTGGCGGCGGCTTTACTGTCATCTGGTCCGTAGTACTGCAGGAAACGTGCAGGGAGGACGATTCGAACACAGAGTCATTCTCCTCGGGCGAGTACAACGTGCGTTTTACCACGAAGCTCGATGCTCCGTTGCCCAACATTGAGGAAGCGGCGAGTGCTTGCTCGGAGAGCTCGCTTGCGCTCACCCCACGCGCTTGGCTCAGGGAGGGTGCCTGTCCTATACTCGATTCTGACTCGGTGACTCCGGCGGCGGCAGAACCTTGCGGCCTGAAGCCTCTCGCGCAAGAGCTGGCTACCAACGTATCTGCAGCCATGTTGGATTTAATGAAATGTTCCGAGGGCACTTGGCAGACCATACAACAGCCGTGCCCTGCCAAGGAAGAGAACATCGCAGGAATGCCGCGGTGGCGATCGGGTCCTGGGCTAGTGTGGGTAGCGACACTGACCGCGGTTGCATCTCTTCTTTAGACTCTCCACGAATGGATAGCTGGCATGTTACTCAACTCAGTAGTGTAGTTAGTAGGGCCCTTCGGAAATATGTCAAAAATTGAATAGTCCTATTTTGCCCCTAGCCATAATTAATGCATTAATTACTGAGTGGATGGTATAGGTAGGTTAGGGCTACCGTGATGCTTGCAGTATCCTCCACCCCATGCCGCCTCGGTCTCTGTCTAGGCAGTGTACTCACGTAAACTAACGCTTGGCCAAGCCAAAAAGTCCGAATGTGTCGACCGCTGCTTCATACATCTCCAGTTCTATACAATTCTGCCCTTAAACCATGATTCTCCATCGATTCATTCACGCGTGTGATCCAGGTCGCTGTGCCACACAGCGCCCCAGGGGTGGCGGAGGATTTGGACCTGTGGTGGTGAAACCCGCCTCTTCACGAGTCAATACTAGAAGCTAGACATATTTCAGAAAACGCTACAAAAGCAGCCCTTCAAGAGAGAGTTTTTTTCTTCCTAATTGCTGATAGTTTGGCAGCCTTTGTGAATACGAGTGAGGCTAAGACGATCTGTCGATCGTGGTCCAATAGATTTAGCGCTAGCATATGAATGGAACGCCTTAGGAGAAGAAAAAGACTTGGCTTGTGATGTCTCATTCGATATTCTCCACAAGATTTAAGGGGACATGCCGCCTCAATGGCTTAGCGGGGGCTGTGTTTGGTATTCCTTCCCGCACTGAAGATTTCATGAGAATCATACCCATATAAATACTGCAGGCGATTTATCTGCACAACTGTACTTCAATCATTATTTTCAGATCTAATACCCACCACGCATCATTCTTTCTCCTGAGGACCCCCTGCCACTTAAACATGTATCTCTCCAAGATAATCTCCGTCGCTGTCCTGACTGCCCTCGCCAGTGCTGCTGCAACACCTTCCAATCTTGAAGCACGCCAGGAGAGTGCATGCCGCCAGGCACAGTCTGGGCTCAAGCAAACATCTCAATATTATAAATCGTTGGCCGAACAATGGAATGGCAGCGCACGAGTAAGGGTTTAGTTCAAACTTTGGGTATATTTCATATCTAATACACCATATGTAGGAGGCCGTAATACGGCTTATTTCTCAGTTGGACGCTGAGACTACCAAAGTTGCAGAGACCTGCGCCAAGCTCGCCGAGGCAGAGAAGAGCGCACATAAGTCTTAGTATGTCATTTCTATCCTGTTCGCTATAATGATTGCAAGTTACACCAGCTAATGATACGGTGATTAGCTCCGATGCTGAATCCGACCTAAGTGATAGATTCTCTTAAAGCGGTTGCATTCAGGTGCAAGGTTATGGGTAGCTACTAGAAGGCCCATAGAGGAGGATATAGCAAGTCTAATGTGCGAAGAGCTAGCGGCTCCTAATATCTATCGGAAGAAAATATCTTTTTTTAATGGCCATTGTTCTATGTGTGCATAATATCGTCCTACGAGAAGGAAGCACTCAGAGAAATTAATATAAGCTTTGTTCTATCGAAATTTTCATTAGGGTTATACATTATTGTAGCCCGCCTTGCTCGTATGGCTGTCCATTCTTCCTTTGCTTATAGCTGGGCTTAGCTCTTGGACCTGCCATGTCCCTATAGGCTGGTTTACTTAGTTTACTCTATTTTCGAATAAATTGCATACAGCAGCTACCCCAATTTATTCGTCAAGCTTGTGGCTTGCCAAATCCGTTCATCTGTTCCCTAGATAGAAAGACCAAGCCAAAGTGCATGTAATTCCATAATGTCAGACAAACATCCAAGTCGACAAATGCAATCATGATTGAATTCCACAGCCTCTTGAAATACAGTACATCGACCAGTAATCCTGCAAACACGCGCAGAAGGATAGTAGTAACCTCGATGGTTTACAGTACTATGGAGGAGAGATAGATTAAGCACCCCATGACCTTGCCCAGTTGACGGCAAGCACCTAATAAATACGCTCCCTGCCCTAGTTGGCCTAAGTACAACCCCCATTTCTCGCGGGCCAGCAATAGCATGTACCCTCACAGCCCCCATTCAACAGTCATCATTACTGCACATGCAAGAAAGGGCAAGACAGCGATAGCATCTGTAGCCGAGCCGAGCACAAGTGGCCATGCAGATTGGTGCGGTGCACCATCCTTGAAAACCTGCAAAATTCGAGTCTAGCGCGGGAGATCAGTATATGCTCGGATGCTTATTCGAAGTCTTTTCCTGAGTGCATACCAAACTTGATCGACAAGCCCTTTTCGGGAAATGAAACGCTCTCCACATACGCACTGTGCGCAGCAGGTGTTGCTGTTGGGGTCCTCGTCACGGCAGAGGCACCGAGGCTGGCGCAGGCAACAAGGATAAGTGAGGGCTTCATCTGAAAATACTTTTTAAAATTCTCGACAATAGTTTAATAAGGTCTCCTCCCACCTATTCACTTCTTTAAGGCTAGCTTTATAGCAACAAGAGGTAGTTTGCTTGAGGAGGAGCCCAATATTTATATCTGCATCAGTGCCATTATATCGGGTCTGGGCCTCTCTTCAGTTATACAGATCAGGAAATGTCTCATACTAAAAGGCTTGGTTTACACGGTACATTCGCTCTGGAACGCCCCCCAATCGTAACACGATTAAATATTCAGCTCATGCTGATTAAAGTTACCGAGAGCAGGGGTATCCCATTTACTATAGTGTCCTTGTTGTCAACTGCTGCGCGTGAGACAAGGCTCCCGAAATAGTGGTAGAACAGCCGTAGGAGGGAGCCCACAGTATCAAGCGGTATATTGCAATCGCCAACCGACATAGATACAGCGTAATATCAATAGACAGCTTTGGCCAGGCTACTTGATACGGTCGGGTAACATTTCCGCTGTCAAGCATATTGACCCGTTTGTACAACAAGACGTTTTTGTGGCACAGTACATGGGAATATATCAGACTGTGTACGACTAACGATAGCTTCTCTGCGTCATATGTTGCACTGAAATTGTGTATACGGTTGTTTCTTCGCTGAGCTTATCACTATAGATTAATCGGCATTCTTACATCGGCCAAACTATGCACTTGAAATATCCCGGAGCTTCCCCAAAAGATGAGATGTCACAAACCGGACAGCGTTTGTGCGACGAACCCAGTTCATTCTGCGTGGCAATCAAACTAAGCTCTACAAGCTGTGTGGTCGTATTTCAGAATTCCAGAGTTCATCTCACATACCAGGTTTGTTGATGTGAGTGGGCTACGAAAGCACAGGCAACTGCATAGGCAAGAACCATTATTAAACCGGCAGTTGCTAAGAGATTGTAGTCAGAATACAATTCAATAGGTCAAATTGACCAGAATCATACATAGGGCCGTATAGAATCCATTGTATCTCTAGGAATACAATGGCGTCTCTTTCGGGATCAATTTGTCCACTACCTAAATAGCAGGGTGGAAGAGATTCCACAGTAGGGTGTAATGAGAGCCCTGCATTGGTAATACAGCACACATATGGACTACATATACCTCTCCTCCCGCTTCAGTCATACGTTTAGTACCCTTGGGCGTTGTTCAAAAAGGCTCAGAAGTAACACGTATACAAGCGTGTATACACACTAAAATATGTTCAACGATCTAAATCTATAGCTTCATCTAAACAGCAGCAGCATACTTATAAAGATTGAAACAAATTCCAATGCAGTATCATCCATACAAAACATCATGTCGCATCATGAGAGAGATTACCCATCAATACCTTGTTCTCATAATCATCCAAACCCCGTTTAAATGACACGCCATTCCTTCATCGCTACGTTCACCGGTCATATAGCTTACTCAGTCCAGTCGGAGAGATCCATCCCGATCTCCCACCTTGTCGAGAGCATCCGTAATATGAGAGCCCTCTCCCTCGTAGAGGAGAGAGTCGTAGGTTGCAGCTCCCACGATGCAGCCAATAATTGGAGCGAACAGAGGGACGACAAAGTAATAGTTGGCTGCAGTGAAGACTTCTCTACCATAGATAATGGCAGAGAACAGTCTCGGGCCGAAGTCTCTTGCCGGGTTGATAGCCTAGGTAATTAGTTTAGTCAATTATCCAAGTACTCATAGTACTCCAATTTCCAGGAGGCACGTACATATCCGGTCTGCCAGCCCAAAGAAGCACCGATCGCAAGCAGGAGTAGGAAACTGGACAGTTGGGGAGAATAGAACCGAGGAGCATTTGATGGGTCTGAAATGGTAAGACTTCCAAACATGAGCACCGCCGATCCAAGCACCTCGTTGAAAGCAGCCTCCCAATTTGACCCCAAAGTGGAGGCAGGATAAGTCGAGAAGATGCCTGCCGAATGGTGTCCCTGAGGACTCAAAATCGATCCACCTGGAATGGTATACTCGGGATCCCAGGACTCAATGGCCGACCGGTAGTTGATGTACACAAGGGCCGCACCAACAAAGCCACCCAGAAACTGGGCGAACAGTTTACCCGGCAGCTTTTTCCACTGTCCTGGTGTAGGACGAATGAGGGCCGCACATATGGTGACGGCAGGGTTGATGGTGGGACTGGGATCAGCAAGATAGCCGGAGATGCAGACCGCCGCTGCCCAGGACATGTTGATAGAGAGCCAAGTGCCATACTGATAATCCGATAGGAGACATTGTGCGACCACTCCATCTCCAAGGACAATCAGAAGGGCTGTTCCGAGGAATTCGGCAGCATATGGTTTCAGGACTCCCCTAGGGAGGCTAGACATGTTGAGGAACATCTTTCTCGGTCTGATGAAGGGATTGAGACTCGGGAGAAAGAAAAACAAAGAGAAATCGAGATGGAGGGAGGGGAAGCTGAAGTCAATGGAGTTGACGATCTGCAGATTCGCTGATTTCACCGCCCCCAGTCGGGTAATCCGAGATATCCACCGGAAATGCCTATTACGGAATAGTGTTGCTCTCGCGTGATGGACATGAGAATGAATCCTCTTTTTTTTTTTTTTTTT